GGTCAGCTCATGGTCAGCTGTGTGGAGAGTGTCGTTGCCTTCGCAACCACTCATAACAGGGGGCTGTACGTCTGGAGCGACATGAGCCAAAAATGTGAGTGAGTGAGTTGAGATTAACGCCGCTTTAACAGTATTCCAGTTATATCGCGGCGTGTCAGCTTAATGTGGGAAGAAAGCCCGAAGTGATGCAGGTCTCAGACGTTTAGCACTTAGGTGAAACCCACGAGCACGGGTATGTTGCTGACAAACCTAGAAATATAATCGGGGCGAACCGGGATTCGAACCCACAATCATGGGTTTCTAACGTGTCCAAGGGACGCAACTCTGCACAGCGAATCGCGGCGCCTTAGACGACTGTGCCACCCGTGCCCCCGCCAATCATGTGTGTATGATAACTGTTTGTGGGGAATATAAAAGTCATATAAAACATATAAAATTATTTACAGGTGATAAATACACAGTACTCAATTTATGTTGCTAACTACATAAATTGTGTTGTTAAAGAGTAGATGTGCTATCAGCATTTGATGGCCGTATATTTGTTAGCTTGATGAGCCATTTTGGATTTCCTACCTGCTTCACAGTTGATCCCTGACCACCCAGGCGAACACACACACGTGTACATCTCCAGACCGTTCACACACGTGCCTCCGTTCTGGCAGGGGCTGCTGTTACAGGACTCAGCGACTGGATGGAGACACAAATGTGACCGTCAAACAAACAAACACCTTAAATTATTATCACTTAACCATACCGGTGACGCATTATTGCATGACGTGACATGACCCCTCAACGAGTGCAAGTCAAGATTGCATCCATCTGCTTAAAAATGTACTCTCCAAAAAAGTAGGACATATTCTGATATTATGGTAATGGGTGGATGATGTGGAGCTGATGTGGAATGGGGTTTAACGTCGCGTTCAAGTTTGCACTTATATAGCGACATGCATGCACGTGAGTGTGTGTGGCTGCTTGTACTAACCCGGACTGGTGCCAATTGATAGTGCTAGCACACTGAGATACTGCAGTTTGACATGAATATCCCACTCAGACACAGTATACTGTCTCCGAGCCGATCTGTCCTTGTTTTAACCCCTTAATGGCTAGCCAGACAGGGTAACAACAAGTATCTTCTTTCAACGTCTTTTGGTATGACGCGGCCGGGGATCGATCGAACCCCGGACCTTCCGTTCCCCGGGCGGACGCTCTACCACTAGACCAGGGAGACTGTCTGGACGGATAAGAATAAGGTGAGGACGATGTGTAACCCATGACAAGACACACAGCATGTTGACGGTGTATTGTAAGGATGCAAAACAATAAAAAAAAAACCAGGGGTGTGTAGTTAAAAAATAAACGTTTTAGACTTGATCAATAAAGGACATCTCCCAATGACAAATATAATACGTCAACGCCAGAGAATAACCAGTCGCCACTGTCAGCCGAAACAGATTTATTAGGGCGTAAAGGGCAAAATAGTGGGGGAAATTATGTCCTTACATCATGACGTGCAGCGCCTGACCCAGTTGAGCTGAAGGAGCGGGTGACCTTTGACGACGGCGTACATGTCTCCCGATCACACCGAGACGTCCTCTGGGTCAGGACGCATGGCTTGTGAGGGTCGTTGATGTCTTTCTACTGGAGGGGCGGTTGGTTAGCCGCGTGGTTCAAGCGTTCACTCGTCACGCTGAGGATCCGGGTTCGATTCCCTACATTGGCACAATGTGTGAAGGCAATTTCTGGTGTCCGCCGCAGGGATATTGCTTGAATATTGCTAAATGCGGCGTAAAAACATACTCACTCACTCACTTGCTACTCGATGTAGTCAGTTACTATACGTGCACGATGGGCACGTGGATTATCGTCTTGAAAGACAAAACGTGGACCAGCTTGGCGCCGAACGGCAAATCTATTGGCGCTGGTATGTTGTCTCGGTCGTAGTTTCGAGCGAACTTTCCATGGGTAATATGCAGTGGCGTTCTGGCGCTCATCATAGTGGTCATCGTGATCTCGCCCCCATATCACTCTGACCCACCCCCAATTGGCGACTGGCTAGAATGTACCAATTTGTTAACGGCTGTACAACAAGTGGTCGTCGAGCATGCAGATTAGCTGCATGCTTACGATTTCTTATATCTTTGTCAGTAACTTAAGCTTCTGTGGCCTGGCGCAAGTGGACAGCGATTTTATTGCCTGTTTGCGTCTGGTTCCTAATTAATTCATAATGTGTTGTTGACCTTTAGCGCCATGCTCGGGGTCGATCTTTAACATGTGTGTCTACAGAGACCACTTCCAATTACCTGCTTCCCCTCCCCGAGTTCTACCAATTTGAATCATGCCAATAGCCCTTACGGTTCCTCACATTGTAGACGATTCATTCCAAGTCTGGTCTCTAATACTGTATTAAAGCAAGAGTGGATAGCTCACATGTACATGATTCTTGAAGAGTTTCACGGGAAATGTTTAAGGTGTGTTAAGGCTCAAGGTTTTTGTTCCGGAACCGTTCTATCTCTGGTTTAGGATCCGTAACCGTTCTACCTCAGTCATTTTTGAAAGAACGACGAGCGTATGCTCCTTTCAAGAAGATGGTTATTGTCACAACATATATTTTTCATGGCTTTTTTCATTTGAGGAGAATATAATATAAATAAATTATAAAGAACAGAACATCATATCAAGACCGTTCAGGCGTTCACTCCTTTGAAGAAAATGGTCATTCCAAAGAACAACGCCAGCTCTGCTGACGGTTCTGTTTCCATATATTGTTGTCGTTCGAGTATGGCATTACCATGTTGACTCGCTCAGGATGTGAGTCGGACCATGGAGAAATGGTAGAAGGTACACAAATATGAGCAGCTTGGACATAATTCTCTTTCTCAGTGTTGCAATTGAAACTCGTGAGGACAGGTGTCATGTGGTCAAGCAATGCTTTATTACAACAATGTACCAATAACCAGGACCGCAAAACCATGACAATGATCATTAACGAGTGATGACTTACATAGGCACCTTGGCGTAGACCCCGTCCAGTATCCATACGTGGAGTAGCTGTAGGTGGAACATGTAATTGTGGCAGTCCCAGTCATGTTGTACCCGTTGGTGCACGTGTACGTGGCCACGCTGCCGTAGTTGTTGCCGTTGCTGACTGTGACGGCACCGTTTGACGTTGTTTGTGGCGTACCACAGGTTATAACTTAAAAGAAATGATAATCGTATTTTTGCGAATATTTACACAAACACAAACATGCAATGGTTTGAAATGAAAGACTAAACGAGCCCACGAAGTATATTTTGGGACCGACCATCGGATATTCTGGTTTGGGGTAATCTGCAATACAATATATGTTTTAACTAATGGTCGGTCCCTAATGCCTTTTCTACACTAACATATATCCCACTGTGCAATGGATAAGGTAATGGATAAGAAAAAATAGGTTCACAATCAGCTTGCCCCTTGAACATGCACACATAATCAAGGACGTATGATCAAGGAACATGCACACATTATCAAGGACGTATATTACACAATACTGGCTTTTAACCCGGACTTGAAGTAGGCAAATCGATGAAGAAAAACATTAGCCACAAATGTGCCTAATTCAAAAACATGTTTGATGATTATATGTCCTGGATAAATTAAATATGTTCTATAATATCAGTTGAACCAACTGAATATACAAATGAAACATTAAAACAGATTTATGAAAATAACTGCTCCTTTCTGTTTATAATTGATGTAAAAGGTCAATAATATATGGATAAGTGCCAGTAGCTATGCCGTGAACGTATAACCTGCAAGAAGTAAAGTCAGAAGATGCAGACACTCAAAAAGACACTCACGCTAAGTGAAATAATGCATATATGCATATTCACAACACAACATGGCCACATATAAAAAAAAAACACAACACGTATGAACAATATACCACTGATAACTTCAATGTTATTGGCAAATATATATTGTCAACGCAGGAGAATAACCGGCCTAGATTTTTTCTGCCGAAAGAGATTCCACTTGGCAAATAGCTGTGGAAATTATATGAATAGACCACTGAAAGACAGTGATGTTAGCGAAAATGGCAAGCATGCCCTGCCCTACCGGTAGAAACCCATCATTCTTACGATTTGCATAAAAAAGTACGTATTTATTGCCTGACGCAACACAGCAGCACTCGTGATATGCGACGTCAGTATGTAAAACCAGACAATCAAGTAATCGAGTAACCAGAAAATCCAGTGACACTAGGGTACCGTTACTAATTTTGTTGAAACTAATAAAAAAGTATGTTCATTTTGAAAAACGTCATAACATTCTCCAAACGGGTAACAATTGAATCAAATAAAATTCACTTTTTCAGATATGGAAGAAACAATCAAATACACATGGATGCTACTCGGGTGCCCGTAGACAATGGGTGCACGGTGGTTGATACAAGGACAGATGATTGGCACCATTACCATTATCACAGCATGTTCCATATCTCCCAGCCGGGCACCTGCATCCGCCGTAGGATGAGTCGTACGAACCGTAGGTACAGTGGGTGTTGCAGTCCCTGTACTCGTAGCCGCCGGCGCCACCGTCACAGTGCTCAAAAGTCCCACAACTGACAAGCGCCCGCACCTTTCTCTCTCTGACCTGCGTCCCGTAGCAGAGCCTTGAACAGATGGACCATTCTTGCCATGCCACCCAACTGCATTCACACGCATCCCATGTTGGAGCTCTCTGACTCCATGCTGCATGTAGCATGAACAGAGCAAACAGATACACCGAAAATAAACACATTGTGTCGGTGTACACTATTTTCTGGATATAGACGAACGGGATAAAATCCCTATAACAAATACACTGCGTTGACAATATTAGAAAAGAGGCACGAGTCAGAAAACAGGGCTTGGGTTACTTCCTGAATCACTGGGCCAGGACGTCAGCTGCAATAAGACTATTGGGTAGATTTGAGAACGCCTACCCACAGTGGCTATACATAATACAGGCGTCACGCGATTAGAAGTAAACCAATACACCTTCCTCACATGATCTACAACCGTGACAGGCTCTACCGTTATAGGAGCACAGACCTCAAAAGACGCAACGCGCAGTGGTAAGTAGATTACTGTGCTGCTGATAATACTATGGTACTGTTTATGGGACTGGCTTCGTCGAATTATCTGTATGCTACTTATACCTGTGTGCTAATATTCTTACTGTACATTTGGCTTTCTCCAATTATCTGTATGCTACGTGTTATCCATTACCTGTTGTTGTCTATGTTAACCTGCTGCTTATCACAAAATGCCATGCATGTATACCTCTCATCATTTGGTTGTTGTTACTCCAGCTTGATAATGGTATAAGAATCTATATCGTAACGTCGCTATATGCAATGAACCAGAAGTTGTATTTCCTGGCAGTGTTGTTAAAAAGTTGGTCATCTCCTAACTATTGTGCAAAGTTGTGTGAATCTGGCATCGAGGTAACATTCAAGTATTGATCATACAAAAATATATGGACATAAAAACAATATTGCAATCTCATAAACATATTTTCCAGGGAGTCGCAGCAGGTAAAAAAGAAATAATCTTGAAATTTGTACAAAAATGTATGACATACTCCTTGCAGGTTGGATCTTTATTATGATTATTTTATACACCCTAGATAATTGTCTTATGTTCCTATCCTAGGGCTATCAAAAACAAAAATTGTAACATGTGAAGTTTGATATAATATTTATTAATCATATTTATACTTATTCATTGTCCTATGGAACTTTGGAAGATATGGTGAAAACAAATACAAATGTACTGGCTATGTTACAAATAGAAGCTACGAGATCGTATCCAGGAGGTCACGACTTAAGGTCTCAAGGTCAGATGGACCGACCAGTCTAGAGACGCTGATCCCTTAAAAACAGTAATTTGTCATCATGTTTCACTGAAACGCGCTAATTGTTAGCTATACATGCTGGATTTCCTGAAAAAGAATGTTTTGAAAAACATAAAAATTCCAGTGACCGAAAATGTAACAAAAATCGTGGTTCTCAAAGACTCGTTATTATTTGGAGAAAGAAAGTCGTGTTATCTCATGGCCTTCAGATATTAATAACGTCTCGGCCTCCTAGTTTGTTCTCGTGACTTCAAGGATTTATCTTGTGGCCTCGGTGTATGAATGAATGTATGGCTTGTAAGTATTATCTGCTGGCCTCTGTGTATTTATTCATTGTCAGGTATTATCTCGTGGTCTCCAAGTATTATCCTGTGGCATCCCAGTATTATCGCGTGGCTTCCAGGTATCGTCACGTGACCTCTGAGTTTTATCTCATGGCCTTTAGATATTATATTGTGGTTTCAATGCTTTATCTACTTGCCTCTTATCTCTTATATCATGGTCAGAATGCCTTCAGGTATCATGTCATGACCTGTCGATATTTTCTGCGAAACTATATGTATTATCTCGTGGCCTCCAGGTATTATCTCGTGGCCTCGAGATGTAACCTCGTGGTCTCCAGGTTTTATCTCGTAGCCTGCAGGTCTTATCTCATGGTCTGCAAGTATTTGCTAGTGGACTTCAGGTATTATCTCGTGGCCTCGAGGTGTAACCTCATGGTCTCCATGTATTGTCTAGTGGCCCCCGGGTATTATCTCGTGGCCTCCAGGTATTATCTCGTGGCCTGCAGGTCTTATCTCATGTTTTGCAAGTATTATCTAGTGGCCCCGAGGTATTATCTCATGTTTTGCAAGTATTATCTAGTGGCCTCGAGGTATTATCTCATGGCCTCGAGGTTTTATCTCATGGTCTGCAAGCATTTCCAGTGGCTTCCAGGTATTATCTCTTGGCCTCAAGATGTAACCTCATGGTCTGCATGTTTTGTCTAGTGGCTTCCAGGTTTTATCTCCTGGCCTCCAGGCTTTATGTTATGGTCTGCGGGTATTATCTAGTGGCCTCCATGTATTATCTCGTGGCCTCCAGGTGTTATCTCATGGTTTGCTTGTATTATCTAGTGGCCTCCTGGTATTATCTCGTGGCCTCGAGGTGTAGCCTCATGGTCTGCATGTATTGTCTAGTGGCCTCCAGGTAATATCTTGTGGCCTCCATGTTTTATCTCATGGTCTGCAGGTATTATCTAGTTGCCTCTACGTATTATCTCGTTGCCTTTAGGTTTTATCTCATGGTCTGCATGTATTATTTAGAGGCCTCCAGGTAGTATCTAGTAGCCTCCAGGTTTTATCTCATGGTCTGCGGGTATTACCTAGTGGCCTCTAGGTTTTGTCCGGGGTGTAACCTTAAGGTCTGCATGTATTGTCTAGTGACCTCCAGGTATTATCTCGTGGTCGCAAGGTATTATCTCGTGGCCTCGAGGTGTAACCTCATGGTCTGCATGTATTATCTAGTGGCCTCCAGGTATTATTTCGTGGCCTCCATGTTTTATCTCATGGTCTGCGAGTATTTTTTAGTGACGCCCAGATATTTTCAGATTACATTTTAAAATCTCAATTGCTCAGAAAGGTTGCACCGGGCCTCCTCCAATCAATTATATAAAAAAAACATTGAACCGACGACACCGTCACAAGTAGGAAAACAAACTGCGCAGTCAGTAAATGTTCAGCTGTATGAAGGCGGCCTGTCAATAATACGCCAGAAAAAGACAATCGTTAATATTACAAGAAACATCCAACGTCGTAAGAAAATGATGGCACACATTCAACAATGTCACCTAACCGGAAAACCCAATCATTCAAGTCAATTCTTGCGACAAGAAATATAGCCACTCTACATGTCAGAGTGGGAATATGTACAAAATATAACGGCGGGTACCCCGTCTGGCCCATACCCCCGTCGGCGGGTACCCCCGTCTGGCCCATGCCGTACTATTGAACTTCGTTGTTCCGCCGACCTGATACGGTCGCTGGAGACATATATCTCCTTTTTTTCCCTGAAACCCTAACTTTTGTACTGGAGGCTCACATGTAAATTTCGAAGCCTATCTACTATGACTTGAGCGCCTGGGCAACTTGGTAGACAGAGTGTCCGGAGGACAGATGTTCGAGGGTCCGATCCCCGGGCGCTTCATACCAAAAGACGTTAAACGTTAAAACGTTAGCAAAATACAAATTCTAATACCTCGAGTAAGAAAAGCCGAGTCGAGAGTACAATTCTATATCTTGAGCACATGCTTATAAATTACTATTACTAAAGTAGGTTTTTAGTTTTGAAGGTTTTAGAACATAGTTGGATTTTAGGATATTTAAAAGATGTCACTCTCTATAATACAGGCATATCTTGATTTGACAATCAGCTTTTACCGGACACCGGACCTTACGCTTAAATGTGACAAAATATACAATACTTAACTATTTCTTCCCTTGAACTATTCTCAGCAACCAGATCTCCTTTAAACACAGAAGCTCGTAACATTAATCTCGGGCCTCTGTCAGTGTCCTTTTCCAGTTTCTAAATTTGTCTGCATATATGACCATTTGCGCACTTGTTAAAGGCCTCGCGGCTTGAACAGCTCTAATATAATTATTTACGCTGTACTTTTCGCCCCTTTAACATTGCAGCGCAGATCAATGGCGCGCCCAATATTGTTATGCTTGATCCTGTATGTCGCTGTCGCCGACAGTGGAATACTGACTAAAGACTTGCACTGGGTAGGTACCGTTTGCCCGTTTGTTTATGTGTCGACACATTATACCTGTCATGACCTGTTTGTGAAATATTTTAATGTCTTACATTATTTTAACTGCATTTATGTAACTGTTCAATTTAGATTATTATCCTGTGAATAATGTATAAAGTGTACCATACGTGTAGTTTAACGTCGTCTGCTGTTTATTTGTGAATGAGTGCGTGAATTGGGTTTAACGCCGTTTTTAACAGTATTCCAGTATCACGGCGTGTCAAAGTAATTTGGGAGGAAAACCCAAAATGATGCTGGTCTCGGGGCGTTTACAACTTTGATGACACCCACGAGCACGGGCATGGTGCTGACAAACCAAGAAACATTATCGGGGCCAATCCGGATTCGAACCCACAACCAAACGTTTCTGGCGTGCCCAAAGGACATAACTCTACGCATATAATCGACTGAAAACTTATAATATCAAGTCTTGAAATGTTTCCCGTAATAATGTAACAACCCGTATCAACTCGGGCAGAGTTGCTGCCCTTAGTTGTGCCAGAATCCTGTTATCGTGGGTTTGAATCTCAGATCGCCCTGATAATTTTTCTGTTTTACAGCATCATAACCGTGCTTCTAAGACCTGCATCACTTCGGGCTTTAGTCCCACATCTTAAATGACACGCCATGATATACCTCATTTTCTCACAATTGTTGTGTTTCCAGATCCAGGATCTCGAGTCTCGAGATGGCTGTGAGATTCTGGACAGGTTTGACTCCGATGTGCAGTGCAAAGGAAATGTCCACGACGTATTTTCTGTAGCTGGACAGGTTATGACAATGGCTGACACGGGGACTGTGTGTCGGGCTGGATTTACTTTGGACTTTTTTGCTTGTAAAGGAGGGCTTTGGGTCCAAGGTAATCATTTTGTATCTATCGTCTTTACGTGATAGGACATCGAACCAGTTTGATTGTTTGTTGTTTAACTCCGTACTCAGTAATATTCCAGCTGTATGACGGCGGTCTGTAAACAATCAAATCTGGACCAAACAATCCAGTGATTGATATCATGAGCATATCTCTACGCAATTGGGATACGATGACATGCATCAACCAAGTCGGGGAGCCTTCCCACCAGATCCTATGTGTCGCCTCTTACGACAAGCATGGGTTACTGGAAACCATTAACCATTGATTCCACCATTAACGCTTTAGGATGTTATTTGTGTAAGGATTGCGTCATTACGACTGATTTCAATATAAATGATAATTCTGAAAATATTGCAGATGATGAAATGCCTTTCATATTTAATACCGTTTATCACATGTATAGACGTGAAACTTGTATGGATAACATTATCTATATAGTTGCCACCAGGTTTCACAGTCACTTCATTTCTCTCGCTGCAACATACCGCTCACAGATGGCCATTACCGCACTCACAATCACGAGAAATATACTTAGGCGGTTTTATGTTATTAATTGGTTTACGGATCAACCGACCGTAAAATAAAAAAAAATTGGAAAAGATATAATTCTCAATATATATATCCGAGTCTGGAATCCCAGCAATATAATATATCACAAATCGTTTTCATGCCATTACCATCCAAAACTGGCTCCCACGGGTGATATTGCTTAGGTGAGATCGAACAATATCTGCATCGATCGCTACAATGAAATTGCTTCACAATGCTTTGCAGACCATTGTGACGTCATTGATTACCATGCCGTCACAATCAAATGACATCACTAATAGTTCTGCTATTGAAGTTGTTTGCAGTACTTTTTCTACACTTAAGACACTGCTTATTACTGTCTTAAAACTAAAAAGTTTGGAAGAATGATGATGGGTGATATATAAAATATCACCCTACTGTTTTTTTATATCAAATATATCCACACTCGTTTATATATTTGACATCCAAAGACACTCGGGTGAGATGTCTATGTCGCAACAAAGGATAAACTAAGCACGACCCAAAAACAAACGTGCTCACGCTTTGCGAAAGATGGTTGTTGACCTGTTTGGCTAAGACCAGTTCTGTTAATAGATTCACCGACACCCCTACTCTCAGCAGTGAGTGGGTAGGCAAAGCTGTGAGGAGTAGGTAACCTAGTTGTTAAAGCTTTCTCCTACATACTCACTCATCCACCCATCTCACCCCTTTACCCACCTCCCATCCTCCTATCCTCCCATCCACCCACCCATTAACCAACCTTCCAACTCCTAAACTCGCTCACTTCATCCACTTCTAACTTCAGTACCTCTATCCTTTGCTCGGTCGTTAAAACGTCGGGAGGATCAACATCACAGGGAAAAGCGATTTTGGGGTACCGTTGAAGCAGTAATTGGCGTCATAGGTGGAGTTGTCGACATCTTCTGCACGTTTTTGTGTGATAACGGTAAGTATATTTTCAAAGTATGACATGAGACCAATAATTGGGCAGGTGGACATCATTCAAATGTGTGTGTTTTTTATCTCATTTATACATATCCGTTTGATTTTATTATGCTTCCAAAGCAGTGGTGTTAAACTATGACACGCCAAATCATTTAACGAGTAATAACCTGTTACAATATGACAAGTGTACGAGTTAAGTTACACGCAAGGTTAATGCTTCTTGTCCCAGTCCATTCGTCACCACTCGCCCCTTTCCGTAACGTGCAAGAAGACTCGTTCCCCTATCGATGAATGTTTTATGCGACATAACGACAAACCAATCAGAATGCGCGTGTGACTTCAAGTACTTCGGTCAAAGAATCCCTCAAGAATACTTTTTGATAATTTACGTACGCACCGAGTTGACAATTATTTTAGCTATGCCCGTTTGCGCTTACACGAAACCCAGTCACAAAAATGGCCACGAGAGGGGCACGGGTCGCTATTCGGCTTGTCCCAGAGTAACATGAGTTGGTCACGAAAGGGCCAAGTCTAATACCCCGTTCACTTGCACAACATTTACTAACGTAAGTAATTTTACACATGTGTAACTATACATACGTGCGTATATGTAAATTTACTATGCGTTCACATGAAAAGCATCTTAGGTGTGTAAATAAAGTATGTAAATTAGGTAAGGCACACATATTCGTCAGTCAGTTCAACACAAAACAGATTGTTTTCCAATTAAAGTTAAATGAGAAGAGAGTTACTTCACCAAATATTTTCGCGTGAACTAACATGTGTTTGATTTAATTTGCACACAAAGACTCTTTGAAACCAAAAGAAAACACCGTCCGCTCAACTCTGTATATACGCCAAAAAATTTACAACTGTTGACAAATTGTTTGGTGTTGGCAAAAAAACAGATATTTATTAGATCATCCTCTGACGTTGACATAAACGTTGACATTGCAACATATACACACAGTGCAAATTTACATTTACATTTGAACCTGCTCCAGATATGATGCAAATTTGCACCTGGTGTAAATATACACACAGTAAACGCGTTCACATGACAAGTATACTCACATATGTATTTCTACACACGTATGCACATATGCACACATATGTATAGAGGCGCATGTGAACGGGGTATAAGAATAGCACTTTCTGTTCATTGACTTGTCAGGGTACAGTGGTTGTTGGCGTAAAAACAAGATTCGTTCTGGGGATAGTCTAGGTTTATCAGCACATTACTCATATTCACCAAAGTGGCCAGAGTCTCTGATTGGCATCATTCATGGTTGTCCTCACATACACATCATCATCATCATCATCATAAGGTAAAGAGTCAAATGGGGCTGTAACGATTCTTCCACGTATATATGCATTATGGTACGTTTGTCGTAAAGTCGAGTTGCGATAAAAAGAAAGAAACTTTACGTGTTTTTTGTACTCTATAAACTTGCTGTATAGATTGATCTCTCCTCTTGAGTTTTAATATTCACTTATCTAGACCTTTCAGACTAGGTCAAAGTTTCTTTCCCTTTCAAACTTACTCCAATCTCATGACAGCCATTTCCTGATGACCATAACTAATGTAAATTGAAAACGTCAATGAATATCTGCGCAAACACATTTCGTAATAGGCAGTGAGATATTAATGGGAATTGAAAAAGCATAAATAAAAAAACAAGACAGAAATTATGTGACATTAGAAACTTGTAATCTAACAAGATTGAACATCATTAGACAGACTATGGTGTCTCTCTTCTGATTAATCATTCACACACACACATCTTAATTGGGACAATTGAAATATGACAGGAGTTTCTTGGGCCTTTGATCACATGGTTCTCGTATTTATCCATCAGGAGGAGGAGGAGGAGGAGGTCCACCTCCAAACACGTCCCCCCATATTGATTGTCCGTATGTTGGGCCTCAATACGCCAAGACGGGAGACACTATGGTGGTTACTTGGACAGAACCGACAGGAACGGACAAGGAGGATGGCAGTCTAAGGTTCCCCTTCGTGTAACATTCTTAGTGTCGAGACGTTTAACAACTGTATTAACAACTTAGCAAACAATGTTTCAGCACCAAACAATACTATATATAACACAGCTATGCGATAAATCGCAAAGAACAGTGAAGAGTGAAGCGTAGTTTATTTCACGATAAAACATTGTTCTTTTAAGACGTCATTTCTGGAGATTCGAAATACCAAACTTAACCCCAACCCCAACCCAACTTGTCCGCCATTTCCGAGGTCGGATTATATTCAGGGAGCCATAATTATTAAAATTTGGGTAAATATTATTAAAGCTTGAGCATTTTATCAACATCCTTAAAGGGGCGGTACATAATGTTGATATCTCATATAAGAAATTTACGACTCATTGTAGTTGTTTATTGTACAATAAAACACTGCAGGGAGAATTAACCACTTGCGCCCCTCATGGTGTATTCTCCCTGCAGTGTTTTATTGTACGATAAACAACGACCACGAATCGTTTATTAAATACGTTCCAAGCCTCGCAGATGTGCATTAACACGCGACCACACTCATTTCCTTAATGAAATGGACAAGCAGACACGGCAGAGAAACAAATCCTGATAATAAAAACAATGAAATGAAACATGAACATCCTGATAATAAAAACAATGAAATGAAACATGTTGCAGCCCTAAGAGATCTGGGTTGGCTCCAGGTAGTGTGTTCACTGCGTCCACACACTTCATCAAGTACAGAGTTGTAGACAGTGGTGGACTGTCAGCTGACTGTGAAATTCTCTTCTCAGTGCACAGTAAGTTACGGTGTGTGTGTGTGTGTGTGTGTGTGTGTGTGTGTGTGTGTGTGTGTGTGTGTGTGTGTGTGTGTGTAATAGTCAGGATTTATTTTATTGTGCTAGCCCACAAAGGTACCATGACACAGTATACTGTCTCCAAGCCAACCAGTTCTTGTTTTTTCTCTTTGATGCCGAACGCCATAAGGGGGACATATGTACCATCTTCAAAATGTCTTTTGGTATGACGCGGCCGGGGATCGAAACACCGAACTTGCGCTCTCCGGGCAGACGCTCTATCTACTAGACCACAGTCCAATGTTCAAGGTGCATTGTTTCACAGAGGCTGTGCCCTGGAGGCAATCCCTGCCTAATCCAATAACGGATATTTATTCATTTCACTTGTATCATGACGTTGCCAGTCGCCGTCTTGGAAAAAAACCCTTTACAAGTCCACTGACCGGCCTGTAAGGATCAGAAGGCGGTCACACGATAGATTTAATTGTCACACACAAATACGTCAACGAAAATATGTCCTTTTAACTTGTTAAACGACAAATTCGTTGTATGTGTGCGCGATTGTACGAGCTGAACTTTCCTGTACATCCAACGACCTTCAGTACTGGTTTGTACGAACCCGTCAAGCTCGTACCCCTCTCATGTTAATATTAAGTAGAGTGGCGACCAACTGTTATGCCCTTCTGTTGCAGCGATCCACTGCTCCCCGTTGATGTACCCTCGCAATGGACGCCTCCACTGTACCAACAGGGACATATCAGGATCTGTGTGCACCTTCGACTGTGACGAGGGCCACAACGTGGACGGTGCTAGCTCCATCACGTGTGAAGAAGGGACCTGGTCGGGTGTTGAGCCAAGGTGTAAAGGTAGGGGTACTGTAGTTTCTGTAAACTATGTCATTGTCATTGAATCAAGCTCTCTGATTAGCCAGGTACCACCTTGTAAAACCCCATACAAGTTGACTGGCAGTCCTGTTGGGTGAAGAGGTTGCAATCGGCTCTTTTCCAACATTGTACCTAGCTTTCTATGCTGAAATAATTTACCTTAGAATTTCCCAGATCTTTTAGGGCAAGTTCAGTTCGGACTGTCAAATGTTTGCTGGCCCATGAATTAATTTGGGGTCCATCACTTGGTGATCAAGTTTGGTTACATGGCGCCGTGCCGTGGCATAAGTGCTACTGAGCGGTACTAGCAACAAACACATACACACTATGCAAATTGTGTGAGTGGCAGTGCTACCGGGAGGGCAGGACATGCATACCGTTTTCGCGAACACCTGGTGCTTTCATTTATATTCAATGGTGCACTCATATAATTTTCAACGCTATTTTGCCTTTAACGCCCAATGAAATTTGTTTTATCTCTGGCGTTGCCGTTATATATTTCATGAATAACGTGATTTTTTGAATTGTCAAAAGGGTTTTCAGACTACATTTACCGTTGCAAAGTAGCTGCGTAAACTTCATCAAGATTGTCTTCGCTTTTGATCATGGCACAATAAGTATCCCATATATGTGGCTTTGACATACTGTTGACTAAGGTGAAGCGTCTAATTACAAGTCTTATCTACCTTTCCGCTGTTCACAGCTGTGTCCTGTGGTACCCCGCCTAGTGTGACTAACGGCCAGCTGACGTGTCTCGGGGACGTCGTGTACGGCACATACTGCTTAATGAGCTGCAACAGGGGCTTTGAACCACGAGGGATGATGATGAGCACATGCCTGGCAACAGGGCACTGGACTCCGCCTGGTACCTGTGCTGGTATGTGTGATTAAGTATTAGCTGCGTTCACTGGGGGCATTGTGGCTGACTAGAGCCGTGCGAGGATCCTCACGATGAAAGGTTCAGATCTTAGATTCGTCCACATAATGATTGAGCCAGCACAAAAACCTACGATTGTGCGTTACCCTTTTCTACGACCTGCAACACTGCGATAGAACTGCATCAATGTTCAGATCGACCTTTAAATAATTTCACCTACCCACTCTCACCCAACCGGAAAAGAATGATGATCACGGAGTCATTTCGTTGTTTCGCGGTCATATTTGTTGGTCTTCAATACATCGGAGGACTCTTGTATCTGGTCTGTTGTAGCGTGTCGGCAATATCCGCGAACGTACTGTAGATCACACGTAGGTACAGGAGCTGCATGGGGATGGGTAGTGAGTGTGGGTGTAGTGTAGGTTGTGGGATGTGGTGTGGGGTGTAGTGTAGCGGGTTGGGTGTGGTGTAGGGTGTCGGATGTAGTGTAGGGTGTGGGAGATTACTTATCCAGAAAAAAAAAAAATTGTAAAAGAAAATGGGATTTTTATACTAGTTCTTTCCAACTTCCTCATATTATATTTATAGTTAAATGAACACTATAAATACAAAACGTATATTTTGAAAAATTGATATCACAGGTGGAGCATCAGGTACGAACCCTGTACCTTCATCCTTGTTTCAGATGTCACTCCACCATCATTCACTAACGGCTGCCCCGATGACGTAGACGATTACGCTGAAAAGAAAGGCGGAGGTAAGGTAGTCACGTGGGATGACCCGGCTGCAAGTGACAATTCGGGACCAGGGGTCACAATCACAGGAAGCCACCAGTCAGGAGCATCCTTTGAATTGGGCGAAACGAAGGTTAGGCTGACAGCAACAGATGCGGAAGGGAATACAGATCAGTGTTCTTTTAGAGTGACCATCAATGGTAAGTTTACTCAGATGAACAAGTATAATGCATAAGGGAATGCAAATGAACGTTCTTGGGAATAGAATTTCAATTTAGATATTTTGAGGAAAGATTCAAAACATGTTCGTGTGGTTTCCAATGTTATGGGTTTTTTTTACTTGTTTTAATGCTTCTGTAAAGAAAAGACGTCTTGATACACGTGCCCTTGCACTGGAATTAGTAGCTCTCTACCCAAATATTTCAAAAATGTCCATACTTTGGGATTTCCAAGCCAGGGAAAGATAATATTACCAAAATGAATACACTTAGAATGTTGTGGAAACGAATGTAGAGTTATGCAGATTTTTGTAGAAGTGACGAGTTGCTTGGAAACATGAGCAAAAACGTTTGCAACCCTTTACTTTGGGAAATTGTGATAATATCAGTTATGGAAAGGCTGGCAGATAATTCTATCCATGTTCTTTCCGGGACCGGAATTGTTATTCCTTCCAGTTTGGCTGGTTCACAAGTTAATGATAATACATCGAGGAATGACGTTTATTTGTGGGGGTTAAATAGCCATTGTTTCGTTTAGGTCTGTACTGTCCAGAGCCGGACCTCCAGGATCCCATCGACAAGCTGAGGTACGACTGCCCCGACGGCTACGGCTACGGCTTTTCCTGCTCCCTCTCCTGCCACTCCGGCTTCCCCTTGCAGGGACCTGACTCCATCCTCTGTCAGAAAGACCCCAATGTCTTCCCCGCAACAGCCTCGTGGACGTGGGCCGTGGATGCCTTTAAACCATTTTGTAAAAGTAAGGATTTCATTAACAATGGGTTGATGTTGTGGACCTCTCATTTCCTGTAATGTGTTCCCACGTATGGGTAGGGTGTCATCTGGGATTGGCTGCAGAATTGGCTAAGGAATCCTCAGCTTGTTATCAACACCTTCTGGCGGATCCAAAGGGAAGATGCTGGTGATGAAGGCATCCACCATTTTCGCAGTCATCTTGCGTATCAGTCTTCCTGACTTTGTTCACTTATTGACTTGGGCACTGTGCACTCACCCTTACTCCTTTTTCTTTAATCATGGATCCACAACGACCTGAAACACATTCACCCACTTCTCAAACTGTTAAACTGTAGTGAACTGTTATTTCTTTGTTAGATAGACATGAAGAGTTTCTGGTCATTGTTGTTATACTTTTGTTGTTAGATACTAGTTGTCCCGACCTGGCGGTACCAAAGAATGGAGCCCTCGCATGTGACGGCTGGGGAAGTGGTGGTAGCATGTGTTCCATGCTGTGTAACGAGGATTATGATATAGCAAGGGACGTACCGGACATATACACTTGTGGACAACAATCTGGCAAATGGTTTCCAAGCGACAACATCTACGACTGTGATAGTGAGTATACTCGTACAGATATTATTGCGATTTATATTTGTTCTGTTATTGTCTTTGGTAGGCATTTAGAAGTTGAAAGAGCATGAAACCTTTTTTGGACATCAACTTCTATACTGTTTGTTTCCGGGCTTCGGCTTGCACATCGTCACGCGCAACTCCACTCTCACTCTGATTTCACTGAATTGACTTTTCTTTCGTTTCCCGAGTATATTGATATTTGCCTACATTAATTAAGACGTCGGGCCGAATGTTGTGCTCTCCCAACCGATTACGTACGGTTCTGCCTCAACACAGGAATTAACCCGATTAATGTGGCAGTTCGGTATCGATTCCGCAAATGAACAAATCGAATATGGTTGTCTTGTTGAAGTGACGTTGACATGAATGTTCCCTGCTGCAGATAACGTCTCAAAAAAGATGATACTGTGATTCGATGAACATTAAAATGTCTGGCAACTTCGATTTGCCCCATTTCCGTTTCCAGCATACCCATGGTGTGTAGATGTTTCACGAGCACCTGGCAGCTAAACAATCATTGTTTGCTGGTAACATTACAAAACACACGTGTGTGAGTATCATGCTCCGAACAAACAATCAAGGACCCAAATTGGTCCCTGCACATTAACATGCACGTGCAAATTGTGAATCACAACCTTAAAATCAAGGATATATATATGTATTGAGAGATGAATTATTCAAATTCAGAATATAGATATTTTTATTGACCTTCAGACGAAGCACGGTTACTTGTTTCCGTCAGTATATTAAAAAAAAAAATGTTTTCAATTAGTTCATGTTGACTCTCGTTCATATCCCCCAATAAAAAAAAGTTGTACAACGTCCATACGCAATTTCTGATTCATGATTAAGTGTGTTGATGGTGGATATTTGAGTAAATGTGTTACTGCATTATCTTTAGGGAAACTAAGTCCTGGGAGCATGAAACTGCGCAGCGATTTTTTCTACTACTCTGGATCCTGCCATGACAACAACACTCAGCTTGAAATCGCACAGAAGTTCATCCATATTCTCAACACGAGCAATACCTTCACTGATGTATGTGGAGCCGCAGTGCCAGAATGCCGTGTGGAATTTGTGAATATTAAATGCGGAGAAACCGGCAGAAGAAAGCGCTTTGTCAAGAGATCAGCCTCAGAGATTTTCCTCACGAAAGTCAAAAGATCAACAGTTCCGACTGTCATAATTTTCGAAGTAGTAGTGCCCTTCAATATAGGTTCCAAAGAAGATGCAGAGGCTGCAAGAACAAGGGTGGAGGGCGAGCTAGACAATGTCAATTCTGCCATTGACCAGATGCTTGACGGTGGAGGCCTCAGTATGGCTGAGTATGGGCTAAACACACAAGCCGACTCCTTTTATCCAGGATATGCAGCTTTTGAATGCCCTTTTGGAACTGCTGAAAACTACAAACACGTTTCATGCTGTAAGATTTCTTTGTTTGTTTGTTTGTTTGTTTGTTTGTTTGTTTGTTGTTTAACGCCGCACTCAGCAAAAAAACCAAGGTATATATGACGGCAGTCAGTAAATAATCGAGCCTGGACCAGCCCCTTCATTAACTGATATCATGAGCATCGATCTAAGGAAATAGGATACGATGACACGCATCAACCAAGTCTACGAACCTGACCACCTGATCCCGTTCTACGCCTCTTACGACAAGCATACTCGACGGTTACGGCAAGCATGGGTTGCTGAAGACCTATTCTTATCTGGGTCTCATGTTGTAAGAGGCACTCTGTATTCATATTATTATTATACACACAAAGACCCTCTGTATTCATATTATTAATCATACTCACAAACATTTATAAAACCTACGCATAATGATGTTCTTTATGTTCTATGGTTATAATAAATCCACTTTTCACAAGAAATATATTCATTTTTATACGAGAACGTAATAGTCTTATCCTTTGCGCAACATTTCTGCATTCTGAAAATGTGTCCTTTTTGCTTATAGTGGAACCCTGTTTATTAATGTGCGTGACATTAGCAACAGTAGGTTCATTCCCTCATTAATAGAAATCCTACATCTTATTCAGCTGGCTGCTCCACCGGGACGTATGTAGAAGCAGGCTCGGGAAACTGCGTGTCTTGTCCTGTTGGCACCTATACTGATGAAGGATTTTCTGATGCCTGTAAACCGTGTGGCGAGGGAAAGTCAACACGATCAACTGAATCCAGATCTGTGAACGATTGTATTGGTGAGTTATACGACTATACAGGTGACATTATCATACAACATACAATATAATAATGTTTCAATTCGCTCATGTGTGTTTAAGCTTAATCTTTGCAGGTTGTGCAGAAAAGCAATGACGATTGGTTAATAAATATGCATCGCATTCATAACAATTTTAATGATGTTGTGGAGATGTCTATGGGCCGAAGGCAGTACATCAAATACAAATGATTATGATCTTACATCAAACTATGGTGATGAATAAAAATATATTTCTGTTTGTAGATACGTGTACTGAAGGTTCCTTCTCGATGGACGGCATGGCGCCCTGCACTCCATGTTCTCCTGGGACGTATCAAGATGCTGTTGCGATGACGTCGTGCACGTCATGTCCGACTGGCACTACATCACCACAGGGGTCTCACAATGCTAGTTCATGTGTTGGTAAGGTTGTGTTTGGAGCAGATCTAGAATGCTATGAGCTATCATAGCGGTTAACGCTGCAATGAACAATTATATCTCGGCGTGTTAGGGAAAGCCTGAAATGTTGCAGGTCTTAGAATTGTGTAACTTTGGTGGCACCAACGACGACGGTTTAATGTTAACAAACCATTACTCTTAACCAGATCCATTCTGGGTTTCGAACAAACGCTCACTGGATCCTGACACACATACGAACTCCAAGTTACATAAGGTGCGTCAGTTGAATGTCGAAGAACACGTTCGGGGAAACCCATGGGGTTTGGTGTCGGTAAACCGAGGATCATAATCCTGGAGAATCTTTCATCTACACCCACTATCAGCGGATCCTGGCACGATTTAGAGACGCGATTCAACATACTTGACTCAATGCCGCACAATGGCACAGCGGCAGATAGACGTTACTGTGAATGACAAACATAGGTTGATGGGGAACAGTTATAATTAACCAGAAATCCACACGGAATATTGTGCTGGTAGACCAGGGATGCTGTTCAGGGTTGAACACGCGATCAGCGTATCCTCACTGGGGTAAGCTACTCAAAGCGGCAGTAAAGGGCTACGAAGTGGCATATTGACAGATAGAAGGTTACTGGGAATTGTTATTATTCTATTTTCACTGTACTCCAAAATGCGATGTAATTCTCTGTAATTTCTTATTCAGCTTTTGACCTGAAGGTTCATGCTAACACGGAGACCGTGTTCGGTAATATCAGCTCGGACCTGAGCGCCCTGACCATGTATTTCTGGTGCCGCCTGGACACAAGCCTGGGACACACCCTGGCACGCATCACCGACACTGACCGGAACACTGTCATGGAACTTTCAATCACCAACAATGTTTTCCTGAATATACAAGGGTATTACATAATCAATATCATTGTAAATATTTAAAATATGGCATATATGCCATTCATGCAAGGTATTATATATCAATATCGTTGTCAATATTTTAAATATGTTTTGTTACCAAGGAGACTATGAATTTCATAAATGTACATGAAATGAGTGACATGGTCAAGAAAAGACATTCAGTTTGTACTGTTATTTACACGTGTGATAGCAGAAAACACAGATGTTTAAACAAAGACCTGGTTGTTCACTGTAGATTTGTTTTCAAAATAGGAACTCTGTAGATACAGATGTGACCCCTGCAACAAACCGCTGGCAACACCTGACCTTGACCTTAGATGGCAGCAGCAAGAACATCGCTCTCTATCTGAATGGAAACGCTGTTTACTCAGATAATATGGCTTCCCTAACAATCCCTCTTGTTCCAAGTGACAGCAGTGTTGCCATTGTATCAGGAAATGGAGGTATTTACATGTACTACTTTGTGTAGTTTGCCACAACAATAAGATCTTATGTTCCTGCAATGGGTATATGTCACGCCGACAGCAACCCGTCATATCTGAAATAGTGTGTTCTTGTTTTATTGATACTCTCAGTGTAAAAGAATACATTTTCAATTCAGACGTCACTCAGAGCGGTTTCAACATTATTGAGAGAGTTGCATCCCCTGATGACATACAAGCCCAGTCTTCAACCTGTGTATCGACGCTACAAGAATCAGTATTGACGTTCATAAAGAATGGTACAAATCTTATTGTACCAAGTCAGTGTGATGGTGAGAAATTTAATTTATTCTACGCATTCTATGCACAGTCAGATAGAGGTATAAAATAACTTATTGAACGTTATCAATAAAAAGGTCTATTTTTATGTATCGTATCCGAGTAACTGTTCACCACAAGAGCAGTGGTGATGTCGCCTTATTAAAGTATAGTGAACTGTACTTCCACTTCTGTCTTCTGTGGTGCTCATTTAGGTTTACATCTAAGAGTGATAAATTGCTTTGAAAAATATGTTATTCACAACCTAATGTCTTGCAAAAATTTCTTGTGACGTGTGTACAGGGAAATGACCATCTCTTGCAGCTGTTGATGGCTGCCTTGACAACCCTTGTGGCTCCCATCCCTGCAAGGACGAGTTGGAAGGGTTCACATGTGACTGTCAAGATAGCTGGACTGGGGTCACGTGTAACGTCCCACCGGACTACTGCGCACATCACGAGTGTCAGAACAACGCCATCTGTGAGAACGGAAACGGAAACTACACATGCCAGTGCCTGAAGGGTTTCAAGGGTGAATTGTGTCAGGAACTTGTAGGTTTGTAAATAAATTTCGTAATAAGCGTTACATCATTGACATTGATATATACAGATTTCATGTCCTAATACAACAAGTACAGGAATACATGCCACAGTACGTCTGAAAGGAGTACAAACATATGTCATGAAATGTATTTTGTAATCATTAAGATCATGTAACCAACAAAAGGATATGCATTTGGAACCAGAAAGCAATGAGTTATGCGAGGCTGCAAATACTGTATAAAAGAATGAGAATGATAAATATTCACACATGCCTTTGTAAAATTACTGAAATCTCTTCTTGAAGTGAATGGTAACTGGGGAGATTGGTCCAAGAAGACGGAGTGTTCAGCATCTTGTGGAGGAGGAACCAGGTCGCGAAGTCGTCAATGTGACAGCCCGCCCCCTGACGTGGATGGTGACACATGTGATGGGGCTTCTGAAGAGACGGAACAATGTAATACAGACGCTTGTCCAGGTACGGTGTCAGTGTGCACTCTGCATGCTTTTGACAGGCAGATTCAAATACAATTGTATCAAGAACAACAGGGTGTTTGCTAAATGCTATCATTTGTTTTGAGATTTAATGAGTCTGAGAATGATATATCACAATGGTTTCCTAATAGGTAACAAGTTAATAACTCTGTTTGCCATGCATGTTGTTAAGCTTATTTCAACTTCAGAGTGTCCTGTCCTTCGTTTGTCCTCTGGAAATTTGAAGAATTGTACAGAATCCGATGGCTACACTAGATGCACCATCACATGCCGCGGGGACATGGTGTTCTACGAGAAACCCCTACCTGTGTACGAGTGTGGTGCAGGCAGCGACTACGTGTGGAACCACCAGGAACACAAGGGTAATGCCAGGCCTCCAGCATGTCGAAGTGAGTTGATTCCATATGTAATATATGTAGCAATTGTCCTGAGGTAGAACATATTGATATCTTCTCTTGTCATATCTTATCATAATTATTATCCACGACGTTATATTGCCAGAATATTGCTAAAAACGGCGTAAAACCAAAATTACTTACTCCTTATTGGTACATACAAGAAGATGCAGGAGAAGCATAAACCATTTAATAGTGCAACAGTTCACAGCAGTCAACCTAGTAAATTTGCTACTACTTAAATGGTCTCCATAGCAATATACATATGTGATTTGTGAAGTCCATTCTTGAACACTTAACTTATTAAGATAAGCATGATATAGTCTATGTCAGTAAGAAAATGTCTTGAAATAAGTAAACCGTTGTTCCACTGCACCAAAGAGTGTATGCCGGATTCAATGAACAAGACCAGGAGGTTCAAAAGCTTTCTGCAATTGCAAACCGTCAATCCCCACATTTCTTTTCATTCTATGACGCTGAGTAGGTGAATGACATAACAGGGTTTGCAGGATCCATTCCTATAAATTTCTTTGCTACTTTGCCTTTTATGCCCAATGAAATGTATTTCGTCGAGGAACAGACACTGGATATTCTCTGGTGGTGACGCATGAAATACATATTTGCCCCGATTTTAGTAATATTCCATCATATATCACGACGGGGGACGCAATAATTGGCATCACACATTCTGTTCATGTAGTGAAATCAATACCGGCCTTGGGCGTCACAATCAAACTCTGTAACCATTGTCTACACCACCGCCCCTCATCCTACGTTAAAGCAATACGTCCTGTAAATTTTTGGTAATTTCATCTTGTGACCTTTAGACGAGTAAATCCATATCATGATGGTTCATTTTTTTCATCTTATATTTAGCTGCTATGGGGGCCGCCCGGTATGACGTAACCCACACCGTCACATACCAAGACCTACCATGTTCGTCTGGTAATTCTCGATCCGATGAAATCAAATCCCAAGTTTCTGGAAATATTGATGTCTTGCCATGTGTCCAGGAGAGCATTTGCACAACGTCAGTTTCAATCAACAATTGCAATAACAATGGAGTCAGTAAGAGGTCGACAACGTCCACTGTTGTGTCAATACTTATTTCCACCATCATGGGCGACTCGGCCTCTCTTGATCTCACAGAATTCGTCGAAAATAACATAGGTAAATATCACAAATTGTTCACATTAATAGTATTGAATCTATATAATTCGAATGTTAATCTCTAGAATAGTTCCTGCTTCAATTTGTTTAACACAATGAAATACAAATCCCCAAAACAGTGATACTACGTTCCAACATTTTTTCAACAAATTGTCTTTTCAAGTCACGTAACTCCCTGTCTTTAAATCTGTTTTGCAGTTACTACAGGCCTTACCAACTACCTGAACAAACTCATGAAGACCGAACTTTCTGTCCAAACACTCGTTAACAGCAGCAACACATTGTTGCCACTGACCATAGATGGCGCCACCTACCAGGTTGATACAAATTCAATGTCGACGACGTCATTGGCCATCTGCCCAACTGGAACCACACCCACAGAGGGTGTCTGTGGTCAGTCCAGTCACTTTCATTGAGTTCCACTATGAATTTGCTTTTAGTTTATTTCCTTCTTTTGTTTTAAATTTGTATGAAGCTCAAATTAATTTAAAAATATAAATAACATTTCGTATGCAACATTTCCGAATAGCTCTGTCCACAAACAAAACGCCATGCTGAAAGGTTATGCTTAGAACTCTGGAATTGTCAAGCGTTGCAATATTCTTCCATCTGTTCAGGACAATGCCCCCCGGGAACACAGGAGGTGAACGGCAAGTGCGTGTTGTGCGAGAAAGGCACTTATCAACATGAAGCAGCCAGCGCGTCATGCCGAATGTGTCCGTCAAGTACGACAACTCCTGGTGTGGGAGCGGATGATGTCAGCCAGTGTACAGGTAGGTTGTACACCATTTGATGACTCACATTAAGTTCAAAAATGGACATGAGTCAGTGATGTGATCTAATAATATAAGAGACCGCCTCCTTGGTAGAACCTCCGCTCGGAGAGCAGAAGGTCCGGGGTTCGATCCCCGGCCGCGCCAAACGTTAAAATATGGTACTTGCTTTTACCCTGTCTGGCGCTAGGTGTAAGGGGCTAAAACAAGGACTGGTCGGAGTCAGTGTACTGTGTCTGAGTGGAGTATTCATATTATCTGCAGCATGGTATCTCAGTGAGGTAGTACTATAATTCGTCAACAGTCCGGACTAGAACAATGCATGTGCGTCACTATATATGTGCAATAATCTTGGACGCGACGTTAAACCCCATTGCACCTCACTTAATAATATAACGTCACTTTAAGTGGGTCCTAAATGTCTTTTTTCTTAATTTAGACAAGCCCTCATGTGATTCATAAGGATTTGAAAACAAATATAGTTACTCGTGAATCATGCTTTATCCATGGTAACAAAATTGTAGCAATATCCTAGCGATATCACGACGGAGACACTATATATGGATTTCAAAACGAGTTCTTACTGAGTAAATATTCAACATCATAGCATCATTACCATTTGAAAATTGAGGGTATGAATGAGATTTACAATGTGCACAGTTTCAGTATTTGTGCAAGTGTAGTTGAAGAAAAGGCAGTGGGAATTAGGTCATTCGAACTATTACATAATTCCAGGATTCCACGTGTGTGGATGGGGTTATATTCCTTATATTCCCGTGTTCACGTTGTAATTCATCATCATAATACAGCTACGTTTCCCAGCATCTCAGCTTCAGTGTGTAAATGTACCCATCATATCATTGCTTGTATCACCCATGTAAGGTGGAGTGACTGAAGGAACGAATGACTGTGATGCTGCATGAACACATGTCTCAACGTTAACAAAGCCTGCATGTGCTATCCATCTCACGCCCTTCATCTAAATGCTAATATCAAAGGCTTTGCTTAAACATTCTCATTATTCTAATATTTTGATATATATTTTAAACTTTTGTCAGACATTAATTAAAAAGTGAATGAGAACAATGGATATATATATATATATATATATGTATGTATATATATAATAAAATAATAAAGTCCACTTCAGTCCAATATCTTCTTTATATGAGTTACAGACATAGTACTTTCACTGTCTAATGTCAGTGAAAGTACTAAAGTGGACTGGAATATATATATGTATACACACAAAAATGAGGTAAATGAACACTCGGTGTACGTGTAATATATACTAGCTACGTAAAGAAACTGTACACGGAGAAAATATATTCTGGATTGAAATACAACACAGCAAGAACAAAATGATGCAGACGCTGTAGCAGCTGAATGATCGGACCATAAGAAAATGTCAACGTGACCTGAACAACATCTGTTACGATGACTTCAGAAGATCAAAATGGAGTAGGGGGTCAAACGACAAAGTCACAAAGTCAATAACGGGTATGACCACCCTGTGCGTGAATCACAGCAGTGCATCGGCGACGCATGGAGTCCACCAAATGGGCATGGAAGGCCTGGGGAATGGCCTGCCATATCCTCCTTAAATCCTGTGCCAAGTCACGGTCGTTATCTGGAGGATGTGGAAGACGACGCAGACGGCGCTCCATTTCATCCCACACATGCTCTGGAGAGATCTGGAGAATTTGCAGGCCATGGCAGTAACATGACATTGTTATGGTGAAGGAAATCCATTGCGACCCTAGCCGTGTGAGGACCTGTTGAAATGTCAATCCCGGGCCATGACGTTGCGGGAAAGGAATGGCCACAGGCCTCAGAATCTGATCTCTGTAGCCAACACCGGTGAGATTGCCCTGAGCAACCACCAAAGGGGTTCGGTGCCGTGCTGTTATCCCACCCCATATAATCACAGAGCCCCCTCCAAAACGGTTCCTCTCCACAATACAGTTGCGTGCATAACGTTCTCCCACACGCCGGTAGACACGTTGGCGCCCGTCACTGTGGGAAATGTTGAACCTCGATTCATCTGTAAAGACAACATTTCTCCACCATATTCGAGGTTGACGAACATGATTTCGACACCATCTTAGACGGTTGACTCGATGACGGTGTGTCAGGATGGGACGTATGGCAGGGCGTCGTGGTCGAATCCCGTACTGACGTAAACGATTCCTGACAGTGTTGGGATGGATACGGCGCAGTCAAGGAATTATCTGGGACGTCGTTACTGCCGTTTGGAACCTGAGATGTGGAACTCGAATCCATCTGTCCTGTCTTGGCGTCGTTACTCGGGGACGTCCTGAACGTGGGTGGTCGGCAACGTCATTTGTGTTCTGATAACGCCTCACCAATGCCGATATCGTGTTACGATGGCATTGGAAATGTGTTGCCACCTGTTGTTGCCTCATTCCCGCTCGGATCATTGCAATGGCTTCATGACGCTGTGCAGCTGTCAATCTTGGCATGATTTGCTTGTGATATGCTTGTGTCTGCGCCTGAGAAATTTTGAATTTTTGAATGACCACAGATCATGCTTTCCAAAGTGACAGCGAATTTTGAGTTGCACATGCTGTGTACAGCTGCACAGGATGCACGTGCAGTAACACATTGCACGTCCATAGGACCCCATCAATGACGTCATATTTCATATATGGACAGTGTGCCCTTATATCTATATTTTCTCCGTGCACAGTTTCTTTATGTGGCTAGTATATAATGAAATAATAAAGTCCACGTTTGTACATCATCTTCTTTATATCAGTTTCAGATATATATCAGATTATCAGATATAGATAATACTTTCACTGTCTCATGACAGCTCTTCAGTGTAACTGACAATGACGTCATACTTACTTTATATATATATAAATTATATATATATATATATATAAACTAGTGATTTCATCAGGTGTATAAGTATTAAATATACAAAGAAACAGAGTCCAGTTTTTCGTGCTTGCCAAAACTCGTATGTGTCATGCACCGTTTTGCTATATACTAAATTGATTCCCTTAGGCTTGTCAGGTTCTGATGATTGTAAATCTCAGGTTCGCCTGCATTATGATCCTTTGCACTGCTCGACAAGCATCACCTCTAACTTTCCTCCAACATGATATAACTGAAATACTGTTTAAAGCATCGTTACACTCACTCATTTATTCTACCATCACATGTGGCTCAATAACACCAATTTGAAGCAAACTGTTAATATAATCTGTTAATCTACTACTTGTGATCTTGACATAAATCAGTCATAAATGTAAATGTAGTCATCGATCCTATATTTCAAAATACATGTTTTGATGAGTGTAAATACAATCCTTTGTTCACTGAAGTTTAGCACAAATCATGTACATATAACTTGGATCGGATTCTGATAAATTATCAAACAATTTTCATAGATAAATGCAACGAATATCAATATCGATATTACTTTATTTGTATACCATTTAAACCATTAGCAGAAATCATTTTAATTTCGAAACATTTTCAGATGAGGAGGCGGAATCGGAACATGATCATGGTAAGTTGCACGAAGGGAAGTTTGAATTGAAAGCTGCTCACAATAATTTGAATTTGCTTGGCGTCTGGGCGATAAGTCATATAAAAATATTGTATAGATAAAATTGACTATTTCATGTTGTTATATATTCGGTTTGAACCTAACGCGTTTATATCTACATATATGCGTTTAATGAAATTTGTGTCGGCAGATAATCAAGATAGTCGTTATTCTCCGTCGTTGACGTTTTTTATTTACATATATATTGTAATATGAATAGCGATTTTATTGCTTTAAAAAACAACGAAATCTGTTATATTGATATATACGAGTAAAAGAATTCAGGTAAAAACTGATTGAAGAGTTGTAATGGTCCATATTCTGATGGTGTATTTAAAAAAAAATTGAGACAAACACCGTGCTGCTAAACCTAATATTAATCTCAATTAATTATAAAAAAATCGCTATTTTACTGCTTTTCATCTCCTGTCATCTCTGTAACAGTAATCATTGTCGTGACCTTGTTCTTGGGTACAACTAGTAAAGTATATGGAAGGTATGGAAAATAGCAGCAACAAGATTGCAAAGTGCCCATAACATGTCCTATCTAAACTATTTATGATCATCACTGTTTAGCCATTTTTGAAAAACCCTTCCCCCTGTTGTCTGTGTACTTTTCATGTTTCATTTCCAGATCTTTTTGAGGCTTTCTTTGCATTTGATCACATGGAAGCAGAATATAAAGGCAGTTATGTTTGTATGCAAACATGGAAATCCAAATAAAACATATTCGTCAGAGATATTTGTATTCATTTTGGTCTCATCAGATTCATATCGACGATTGTGTATTATTAAACGTGATTCGATAATTCTTTGTGTATTCAACTTTGAGAGAAATCAATTTTACTCGCACGAAAGCTAGTCTCGTCTTTGTCCGTGTGACTAGAAAGCTGCACAGAAGTACCTTTTGAGTTCTTCAGGATTATGTAGCTGAAGGCTTATGAGATGGTCATGACATTTGATCTAAATAGTTTGGAGACTAACTCTAAACTTAATAAAACTAAAAGGCATAAAAAAAGGACCAATCGCTTAAGCTTCCACTTGTCGTGTTCATCCACCGGATGGGCGCCAATTGCACGAGGTGAGCTGAATGTGTGTATTCTTTCTCGGTTGTCTTTGTCTCACCAGCTGTCAATCATGTCATCTGTCTTGGTGCCTTCAACGGTTTTCGCGCATTTCAAGTAATGCCACATCCTTCTGTGCATGGGAATTGCTCTCAATGGTTCAAGGACAATATTTGTTGACTTCATCCACCGGATGGGCGTGCTAATGAAACGAGGTGAAATGGACGTTTGCGTTCTTTCTCTGGAGGTCTTGTCTCATCTGGTTCTTTTGTCTATTTGGGGTTATCACGAACTTCAAGTAACTTTCCATCTCTTCCTTCTGGTCTTGGGGATTTCTCGCAATGGTTCAATGACACTCATCCTACGTTGCAACACATAGGAAAAGTCATGTCCATCATCATGTCATTAGGTACCACTGATATCTAAAGGATACCTCACACATACTGGGGACAAATGTGGTGCCATATTCTCCAATTATATTAATGTTTTATCAGAACTCATTTTCTGAACTCGGACTTTAAATTGCCCTTCGGCTTTGATTTTGACTTGTGAATAAGATTTTAGATGTTATCAGTAATTTACTGATGGTAATAAGTTATAACCGACCCACCATTAATAAAAAAACAAAAACCATACGTTGTGAGATCACTTCATAACATCGTAACTAACAATACTTCAAGCTAAGGTTAAACTATGTTTATTTGATACATACAATTAGATAGCATAACAAATTTGTTTTGATTTCTTGAAAATGTAGGTAGGGATATTTTGAACCAATCACCTCAATGGCTCAGAAGTTCTCTTTGCAGCATGTCATACTAGTTCCCGTAACAGTTGTTCGTTTGTACATCTGTTCACGTCCTGTTCTAGATATATCTGTTGGGGCGATAGTCGCAGTTTAGTTCCTACATCCCCATGACACATTAGTGCACAGCCAAATCAAGTGAACGGTTAAAGTTGTTCGCCACTGGGCCGATGATTCTAACAAACCTTGTAGCTATACACTATTTGTTTTTGTTTATAGAACACCAATGGAAGCTTATTGCTATTGGCTTGTCCTGTCTCGGTGGGGCATGCTTTATCGTTGTTGCTGTTATCATTGTGGTGAAAAAGAAGGGCTATTACAAAATTCTGATAAGGTAAGAAACATATTTGGTGTGTATTATTTCATCGAGTCATTATCCTTATGTTTAATAAGCTATACTTATATAAAGTTCTGTGCCATCTCTTATAATCCTGACCCCTGAAGATCCGGGAAAAAACAGGTCTGGTCCAGACTCAATTATTTACAGAGCGCCGTCTGGAACATTGTTTGGTGTGGCGTAAAACAACAAACAAACAATTTTTCTAATCCTCGAACAGATTTCTAGTCTTCAAATGTGTAGTATATGTAGGTACATTTACACATGTATACATGCAGGAGATGAACGATTTAAGGTCACATGACGAGGAATAAAGACGTTAGTCGAGCCACTGTGTTTTACAGTATTTCAGTTAGACCTTTGAGTTAGAGGAAAGACTAATCAGGGTTTGTTAAGCAATGGTCCCAAAGATGATACATGAGTGTAAAGATTTGACAGCGAAACCCGATGTTTAGACATGGTCTCAATGTGTTTCTTCAAGGCGATGCAATCATTTATGGTGAAATGAATATGCATGTCTTTAAGAGACATATGGGAAGTTTAATAAACTTGCTGTCTGAAAACTTACAGATATAATATAAGGCTATATGTCTACTTTCAGTTCATCTAGACCATCTACAGCAGGATCGTTCCACAAGATGTTCCATCATCGTGTTTCCGTAGCTTCCTTACCACCACCCTACTCTCAAGAGGAGCCCCAAATGCCCCCTTCATCAACCTCAGCTTTCAGGACTCAGATGTTAGTGATGGAAGCTCCAGAAATGAGAGCACCAAAAGATCCACTTCCACCACTAAAATGTACATTCCAATATACTCCTGGCACAAAGATAATTTAACATGCTGAAATAGCTTGATCTCTGTTATTTCTTTAGGCTCTGTTTGGGATCACATCGAAAGTTATATTAAATAATCTATTGTATTTGAACCATAATGACGAAATGACCAAGTGAATATGTCATTGCTCCATAAACGTTTGCATTTTTGTATAAATTGTAAGATATGTTTAAGCATATTCATTATCGTTTCAATTGGTTGTTTCGTGAAAATATTGTATATATATTGTTACGTTCTAATTACGTTCACATCTTAAGAATGTCTGGTGATGAGTGAACCTGTATCACATTACAGTGTTATGAACACATCTTCTCTTGTGTCCAGTGGTATTTGTAAAACGTCTTCTATGGTGTTCAGGATGTCCCGTCTTCCATCCGATCTGATCCATAACAGATGATGAATCCACCTCTCTGGCAATCTACACGTACTGCAACAGCATCCCACTCATTCAACACATTGATCAATGTGCCGGGCATAAAGCACCACATTATTTGGTATTCCTGTTTTCTCAATGTGAAAATGATGCATTGGGAAAGATGACAGAAGTTATTTTATTATTACTTTAAAACAAACTTAAGTGACCTGAAATGATGGAATTATTTAATACAATTATTGTACATAATCCTGCCTCAATAATACTCATTTCTATACAGTAAACTACGTTTATAGAGAACACGCTTATATTGATCTGACAGATGAAATGAACTGTTGTCCATTTACTGTATTCATGATTACAACGAACTACGGTTATAACGAACTACGTTAATTGCCCATTTGTGTTCATTACAACCGTAGTCTTACTGTGACGTCACAATATTTAGATTGCACAATGACGTCATACTATGTTAAACCGGTTGAGAAAATTGTATAGCTCATCATTGGACTATTGTACTGTGCTGTGTGTCAAAACTGTTATACCTAGTATAATCTGAACACGCCAGAAACCTATGATTGTGGGTTCGAATCCCGGTTCGTCCAGATTATGTTTCTAGGTTTGTCAGCAACATAGCCGTGCTCCTGGGTTTCAGCGAAGTGGTAAACGTCTAAAACCTGCATCTCTCCTGGCTCTCCTCCCAAATTAAGCTGACATGCCGCAATATAACTGGAATACTGTTAAAAACGGCGGTAAACCCAACTCACTCACTCACTGAACACATGATTATTCCTCATACACTATCTTCTACAATGAATAAATCGAGACTGCTTATTCTCTGGTGTTGACGTTTTATATTTATATACCTTTTGCTTATCAAATTTATATAACCTGTTTATGCATTTTAAGTTACACAAGCGAATGTTTATTTTGACTCACACACAACATTTTAACAAAGATCCCTTAATTTGTGATACAAAAATATATGTCTAATAAATGTATATATCTAAATATAATGAAGTTGGACTGAGAATGATATAAGTAAGGTCTTTTATAAATTCTCTAAAAACTATCAGTTCGAAAAAAAACATCTTGGAAACAAAAACTTAAATAACCCTTGCATCTTTCTTCTAAGAAACATATTCCTGCTTGGCGCCAATATTGAAAACAGTATACACTTAGCTAACCCTTCCTCGAGGGATGTATTGGCTGCTTGGGGTATATTTTGTGGAAGACAAAAAAGTAACTCGAAAAACTCGAAGTACTTTTGGAACCTCTTTAGAGTAACCATCATTAACGAAAATCTAATTTGTGTAAGCCTGTCTTCAACAAATTTGTTTAAGTGAGAGGTTAGGCGCTCTACCACCCAAAAATCATGAGTTACTTCCCTTTGACTGTAAACCCAGTGATCTGGGTGCACAACCGAGCGTATTAAATAACCAATCGCCATGCTGTCTCACGGTCACGTGAGAACGTTAACTTGTGCGGGTCGATATCCCGTTCTTTTCACAGCGACCAGCCAGCAGTAAACACGATCTCATTACAGCAAGTTTGTGGGCGCGGGGAAATTGTATGTGCAAGAATATGTCGGGACGGGGAAAGGGTCGAAAAAGGAAGTTACGGCCAACTACACTGTCAGGTGGTTCGAGACAAGGTAAAGCGGCGAGGCAGTCGACAACCCAGCGAGCATCCGCCACAGTCAGCGAGGTTACAAGCCAGCCAGACAACATGGCGCCAAACATCGCAGAGCGAAGCGGCAATGTCGCAACAGGTGAACTCACTTTACATCATAATTTCGTAAACCCCGTTCCATCGTCTGATGTTATTATTGACTTGCCCGTAAATACAGTTCACAATCCAACATTTTCCAGCCCCAGCAAACACGTGATTTGAATGATAGGCCTAATTATGATCACACGGCACCAATCTCATCTGACCATGTGGGTTATCTCGTTCCCCAGGGGGTAAGGGAAAAAATAAGGAATGGCGAGTTTATTGAACTGACCACATTGCTCAAAGGTTTGGACAAGGACAACGGTAATGATGGTACAATTAAGGTCAACTCAAATGGTCAACTTGAAATGACTCGGCAAACTAAGGAAATTCAGTCTATCGAGGAATGGACATCAGCTTTCATTGTATACTCATCTGTTTATCTTGAGCAGTTCCCAGGAAAACACCAAGACATACTCAAGTACATGCACACGATCAGACTAGCTGCTAGTAGGGGTCAAGGATGGGCACAGTATGACAGGCAGTTCAGACTTCGCATGGCTAGATCCACTATGACTCTGGTTATTGTACATGAATCAACCTGCAAATCGTTCATTTTCGTTCCAGTCAAAGAAAGGGTTGTTCTCACAAGCTGTTAACCAGGTTTGGGAAACCCCTGAAATGAAGGAAATGGACCCACCTGAGTGAAACACCCCCAATTGAGTGAATACACGCACCCACTATCCCCTATAAAAAGGTGAAAAATCCACCTTGCGGCGTCTGAACAAAACGTCGCAAGATGGTAAGTCACTTTTGATCAGTACGGTACTACATTCTCCACCATGTAACACATGCCGACATGAACACGTGCCTCGGTACATGCGTTGATAAACATTTAGAAACAGACATTCACGCGTTGTACAACAATTCTGACCTGTCACATTGCTATTATGCTACGATACAACTCACAATTTACACCAGAACGGCATTAATATCCCCTCTCAACACACACTAACCTGCCGGAAACGATGGCCGCTCATGTCACTCGCCAACTGCGATAGAGCACTCGTCGTCAGAGATGTCGTCCGGAACTGTGGTGAACCGAAAGGGACACAATTCGAACACAATGACAAGGGAGGAAACCCTGCACGCATGTCATCATTTAGGGATGTAAAATCACTAAATTGCATAGGAAAAGAGTTATTTAAATGAACAGATATATAACATCATCCAGCTGCAACTACATGAAAATAAATGATTGCTACATTCAAAATACAACATTGTTTCTGAATGTAAAAGGAAAGTAAAGTACAGATGAAAACAAAAAGTAAGAGGGCAACATGGAAAAAGACAGGTGTCCAAAAGTCCTCCACATCAAAAGGTCACCACACGGGCCCTAGAGGACAAGCTTACATTGAAGACCCCAAGGACAGGGCCAAAAGCTTTTCCAAGCGGAAATTAACTCTTATTAAAATGGTAATTTATTCAGTATACAATATGTGTTTACCGTCATAAGGAGCGTCACATTCCATGGCAGCCTCCACATCCAGCAGGTCTTTATAAAAGGCCATTATTTTAGCCTTTGTGCCGGAGCGGACTGCCTTCCATTGACGGCGCATGTCATCATCAGCCTGAAACAAGTACGATATTAATATACACATAACAATATGAATTCAAAACATACCAAAGAATACAAAAGTTAGGGTAATCTATGAACAAAACGATTATTACTGTGTTATCAAAGGTACACTCTTCATACCTGTACATGTTGCAATGTGACCTCCACCAAGGTCATTAGTTCCTCTTTTGTCCGGTGCTCAATTTTTAGCGATTCAACCCTGTCAGCAGCGGTCACCATGATCTTTGACAGGGGTGTCCCCTTACGGGAGAAATCCCCGCAAATGGCCTTATCCCTGTTTAAATTAAAAGCGCATACAGTGTTACAGGATACAAAATGATGCACATACAATGAAATGTGGAAGCAACGTTACCAATTGCTAGTGTACGTAATACAAGTTACATGAAATATATAAGGATGGGTACACTGGGTGAAGATCAATGCTGCTGTCCCCCGCCGTTTTATTGATGAAATATTGCAAAAAGTGTCCGAAACCCATACACAGTGAAGCACTATAAGAAATAAGTACTAAGTTATGAATAATATACACACCTGTATATTTGTCGGTTTTGCTGACACTGTCGCACACAATTCACTAGGTCTGCATCAAGATGGAGGCTCTGGTCAAGGCCAACATGCGGACTATTACTGTCAGGGTTTTGAAAGTAATGCAAGTGCCTCAACCATGACCTCCATCCTGTTATTTCAGCAGCCAATGAAACGTGTGTGACAGTTGAAAAGTCATGGGTGACTGTCATGCCTGCAGCATCAAACATGGCTGATTTCATCTATGAGAAAAGAAATAATGACAATTATGATACAATCTTCAAATGAGTGAGTGAGTTGGGTTTAATGCCGCTTTTAACATTATTCCAGTTATATCGCGGCGTGTCAGCTTAATGTGGGAGGAAAGCCCGAAGTGATGCAGGTCTCAGACGTTTACCACTTCGGTGAAACCCACGAGCACGGGTATGGTGCTGACAAACCTAGAAACATAATCGGGGCGACCCGGGATTCGAACCCACAATGATAGGTTTCTGGCGTGCCCAAGGGACGCAACTCTGCACAGCGAATCGCGGCGCCTTAGACGACTGGGCCACCCGTGCCCCCACTCTTCAAATGAACAGACAATACATCAAACCTAATATTAATTTATATTATCATGTATAACATGTATGTATGTCCAATTTATAACAAACAGGTCAAAAAGTTCATAACGACCACCGGAGCAGATGTCTACATGGAGTTTTGTGCGGATGGGGGTGGGGCCAATTTCTATATGGCCACGCCCTTTTTTGAGGAAAAATACGGTGTATGTATACCAATGTTACTTCTTACAATATAGATTCATAACCACTTTGTGATACATATGGCATATGGAGGTTATATTGCATACCTAAATACACTATTATGAATGGAGTCCCTGATCAATTTTATATGCATTAACTATTTTAACACGACTGTTATTGGAAAACTAATAATATAACGTCTTATGCAGGAACCCGATGGAGCAGAAGCTGTTCACCAGAAAACAATCACAATCCCCAAACCAACACACATTATCACCCAGACACCTGATCAGCCATCATCACCACAACCATCCACATCTTGCACATCACCTTCTCATTGTATTGAACCGTCCATTTCCATGAAAGCATCAGACCCGCCTATTCAAGAAAAACCATCAACATCACCCGCCAAAACGACAGCCCCATCCAGACCCAAGAGAAAGGCCACTAAAAAGGTTCATGGACATTGTAAATCCGCTAAAGTTCAAAATGTCACAATTTGCAGCTATTGTAATCAGGAATATACCCCAGAAGATCACAGACTTAACAAATGGGTGGGATGTGAACACAAATGTCAGCCCGAATGTTCATTTTGGTGAAACATTGGCTGCATGGGTGTTCACATTAAATCCACCAAAGACCTGAAACCTTTAACAATTTACTGTCCTGTCCATAATCCATCATTAAAGTCATAACATGAATCACGTGGTGGTTGTTTGTTGAATTAATGTACTCTTTCTTGTGCAAGGATGTGGGACCGCCACTGTAAACTGGTATTGCTTCATATGAAGTATATCATAGGTTTAGATGTGTTTTATGCTTATTTTAAGCCGTAACTATATACAGGAGTGGGCATGTATTCTATATAAATCATGTTCATATAGTAAGAAATTTGACGGTTCACATCATATGCATATTACATTATATGTTAATGTTTTTAATTAATGGTATTGCAGTAAAGTGTGTTAAGAAACACAACTTATACTCCTGAGAGTGACATTGTACCAGACTATTGCTTGCCTACTCCGACGTCCGCGCCTCACATATTGAAGCCGGGGGAATATTCCAGAGGTCAGTCAGTGGTCATTTAGCTGGATGATGAACACGTGAGTTGAAATATTGCTTGTGAAATAAGTCCTATACACTATCAGTTCGTTTCATAGTCACTGTATATGAACGACGTGAGAATGACATCATATGTTAGTACAGATGTTAAATACCTATCGGCTTTTTACCTTTTCTAATCTGTGTAGATTGCGACAGCTACGGAGCCAGCCGTTTTCAGTTGGTAGGCCTGGTGGTATCCACATTTTTATTTTCCTGTTCCAGGCCTCAAGGACGAAATCCCCTCCTTCTCCTTTGCTCGGGTGACCAGACTGAGAGAGAACTTCACTGTGATGAAGAAATTCGGTTACCTCCGGTGGTGCCAAACTGCTGATACGTGGTATTGTTCATGCCATAGAACAAAGTGGTCATTATGTATTTGGAGGCCAATATGACACGGCTGTTGTTTCTACGAACTGAGGCACGAAACATGAAGAGGGGAATGACGAATGTTTTCAAAACTTCCCAGGCAAAGATATGGTTTGGATTTTTACAATTTGATAGCCACTGGAGACATCCCTCAATGCTGAACTTTGTGTTGTTGACAATGCATTGACGAACATAAGGTAGGATCAATTCGTCGATTGTCCCATACAGAAATATCAACACAAACTGCCAAGACTTGTGGTGATTCTGTGCTGCTTGTGCATAGGCCAGCGCATGTGGTGTACGAAACCCTGTCATAATTGCCATGTGTTTCAGAAAGGGATGCCATAGTAACTTAAATATGGAACGTACCATGTTCATATCATAATGACCAAATCCAGGCACTAACAACACATTAGGATACTTCATGCATGTGTCTACATTGATGTCATTCCTGTCATGTTGACTTTGCAGATGTTTGGTCAATTGTTCCTTGCCCCCTCTACATTCATGTTGACACAGAGGACAAATGTACCATTTGTTTATGATATTGGTCACAATGTTGTACGGACATCCATCACATCCAACAGCTATCCATGTGCGAACATCTCCTGTGCCAATTTGCTGATGTAGCTCATGCAGTACCCTGTCTACATTGTCATAGCTGTTGGGGTTTGTCAACACAGGATCGCCCAAGGTGACAGTGGGTTGATTGGGTGCATGTCGACTTTCTATGAATGCATAGGGATCATGGGATTGTTTGAATGAACAGGTGTCAATGAGTGGATGATCCCTATCAACATTGTCTGACAGAGTACCATCCTGTGTGGGGGACTGACCCTTCGCAACTTCATGTAGCCTGTACTCAAGGAAGTCATGAACAAGACTTGTCATGATGTGTTGACTTTCAGTGGCCATTTCATCTAATAGTGGTGAAATAACATCTTTTAGGTAAACTTCTTTGAGTGGCATTTAGAAGTTGGTGTGATGAAGTAAGACGAGTTATGGATGAACAACTTCTTTATTACAATTAGTGCGACGTTTCGGTGTAGATCCTAACACCTTTATCAAGCAAGTGATCATCTTTTAGGTTGACTGAATGCAACCATACATATGGTGACAACTGTGGGACTGATTGTATTTGGGAGACAGGGTCATTTATGTAAATGATGTTTGTTGTAATGCTGCATTTAGTTTTGTAATTTAAGGTGACACGCCAATTCCGTTCAATCTTTTGATTGTTATCAAAAAATGCCAAGATTGAGCCAACAGGTGGACACTTCAGTTTATGTTGTGTCCCGCTATCAAGCCACAGTGAATTGATCGTATATGAACCAGATGGAGATGTGTGATTGTTGAAAACCGATGCCACTTTACTTCCGGTCATGAAATACGTGAGCAGGTTGCTGCCAAATGCTAATGGCCCAATGATGTTGCTGGTCACCATGTAGCACATGTTTTCAATGATTGTAGACATGATGAAGTTTTTTTTTACCCCATTAAATTGATCGGGAACTGTATAATCGTGACCTGTCATGTGTTGGATGAGAGTCAGTATCAGGGAATTCCGTTGACTTAACCAATGGGTGATGTTGATGTTATTGTAAAAAATCTGCTTCACGGTATTGTGATTTTATTTTGTCTGATTCCGTTTTGATGATTCTGTTTTGATGATTTCATTTAGATCCAACACTGGCAATGATGGATATGATGTTCTCCGTGTTAAGTTTCCCTTCACGTAATCCCTTTGTGATTTTATCTACAACATCATTAAATGATTGTTCACTGTCTGAAAAGTCATTCTTGACATGTTCTACACATCCATGACAAATATATTTTGAATCGTGAGTGAGTTGGCCTTGTTTTAAGAGTGCATCAATGTATTTTTTAGGGTGACGTCGAGATGAAATTTCTGTAACTGGTGAGGTGTTTGTAGAATAGGCGTCATGAGCTTTACAACTGCACCTGTGAATTTTTCGTTTAGGCATGATTCTTTTTTTATCCTTTACATCCACATCTGTAAATAATAGAAATTTGATGAGCATGCAGCTTTAAATGTTTCTTATCTGTACGTATGTGGTGACGTTTATTCTGCAAATGTAGTGAAATGTGTGTTGTAATTTTATATGTTTTTTCATTAACTTGTAAATATGTTGCGAGAGTTCCATTGTTTTATTTCAATAAAAGCTTTCAAATGCAATTTTGCTTTTTTCATCCCTAAATGATGACATACGTGCAGGGTTAACTGCCTTGTCAGTGTTTTCGAATTATGTCCCTTTCGCTCCACCATGGTTTCTGCCAAAATCTCTGACGACGAGTGCTCTTTCGCAGTTGGCGAGTGACATGAGCGGCCATCGTTTCCGGCAGGTTAGTGTGTGTTGAGAGGGGATATTAATGCCGTTCTGGTGTAAATTGTGAGTTGTATCGTAGCGTAATAGCAATGTGACAGGTCAGAGTTGTTGTACAACGCGTGAATGTCTGTTTCTAAATGTTTATCAACGCATGTACCGAGGCACGTGTTCGTGTCGGCATGTGTTGCATGGTGGAGAATGTAGTACTGTACTGATCAAAAGTGACTTACCATCTTGCGACGTTTTGTTCAGACGCCGCAAGGTGGATTTTTCACCTTTTTATAGGGGATAGTGGGTGCGTGTATTCACTCAATTGGGGGTGTTTCACTCCGGTAGGTCCATTCCCTTCATTGCAGGGGTTTCCCCAACCTGGTTAATGCCCCTAAAGTGGGTTATTGCTGGGATTTTAACGAGTTGGCAAATTTTGTCGCAGGCAAAACTGCAGATTCCCACATGTCTGCTACAATTGTGCCGGTGGCCACCCCTACACTAAATGCAAAGGAAAGTATGCCCCTTCCGATCCAAAGAAGCCCTTTCTCAAATCTCAAGGCCCTAGGTCATAGTCCACACAAGGAAGATGCATTTATTTTAAGTGATGGTTTTTCTAATGGTTTAAGTTTACAGTACCAAGGGCCCAGGGGGGCTAACACACATTGTCAAAATTTGAAATCAGCCAGAGATCCGGGTATGCAGCACATAGTCCTTCAAAAGCTCAACAAAGAAATATCACTCGGCAGGATGTTGGGCCCCTTTGAAGTACCGCCAATTTAAAATCTCAAAGTTTCTCCAATAGGGATTGTTCCAAAGAAGGAAATCGGGCAATATCGACTAATTCATCACTTGTCATTCCCTGAGGGTTCATCAGTTAATGATTATATCAGTCCTCAGTTATGTTCAGTAAACTATTCAACAGTTGATGGTGCCATTAGGATTATACAGCATTTAGGCCCTAAAGCATATTTGGCAAAAGAATGCATTAATGTTATGCATGGTATCACCATAAGATTTTCAACTGTTGGGAATAACATTCAAAAATCCGTTCTACATTGGCAAGGCTCTGCAAGGCTCCTATGGGATGCAGTATAAGTTGCTCCATATTTGAAAAGTTTGCCACATTTCTCCAGTGGGTCGTTGAGACAAGATTCAGTGTCAGGGGGAAGTGATACATTATCTTGACGACTTCCTATTTGGTGGCAGCAGTCTGGACAAGTCAGACTGTCAGGAAGCACTTTCTGTCCGTTTGTGAAGAGCTAGGAGTTCCAATTGCAGGAGACAAAACAGTTCCCCCAACACAAGTTCTAAACTTCCTTGGATTTAGGCTGGACACTGTCAAAATGCAGATTAGCATCCCCGAGGAAAAGCTATTTGAAGCAATGGCGAAGTTAGAGTTCATTAAAGCTAAAAGCAAAGTAACAAAAAAGCAAGTAGATAGTCTGCTAGGTTCTCTTAATTTTATCTGCAGAGCTATCCCAATTGGTAGAGCATTCTTGCGTAGGACCATAGATGCCACATGTGGACTGAAGCGACCCCACCACAAGATCCGGGTCACGCAATCGATGAAGGAAGATCTCCCATATTTGGCTAGAATTTCTCAAACATCACAATGGTACATCACTATTTTTGGATCGCTTCTGGACCAGCAGTCTTTCGCTACAGCTGTACACGGACAGCGCAGTTGGTGAGTCAGGAGGTTTCAGAGCATTCTTTCATGGAAGCTGGACGCGAGGATCGTTGCCTAATCACTGGCACGAAAGGGGATTGACAAAGAACATTACACTGCTCCATTTTTTCCCCAATTTTTGTAGCAGTTAATATTTGGTAAGAAGAACTCAGTGGTAAGAAATTAATTATCAACTGTGATAACCAGGCTGTTGTTTCTATACTGAATAGGCAAACTGCTAAATGCAAGGACACCATGCAGTATGTTCGAAGGTTTGTTCTCCACTGTCTCCAAATCAACCTGTTAATTAAGGGAGAGTACATCCCAGGTTCTGAGAATAGCGTGGCTGATGCACTTTCTCGTTCTCAGCTTCAGCGTTTCCGCTGCCTTGCATCAAATGCTGCTGTCAACCCGACTCAAGTTCCAGACAATCTTTGGATCATCTAAAATCTGAAGCTTTTACAATGATTGAAGCATCACTTTCATCGAACATACGGCAGACCTTTGGAGCAGCAGTAAGATCATTTATGCAATTTAGGAGTGAACTTAATATCCCTAATATGGCCAGCATCACATATTGGATCACATATTATGCTACATAGCAGACATGTCTAGAAAAAACTTATTCTAGTTCAACAGTTGCACTTCATCTGTCAGCACTCGCAAGACATCATAAAGTAACTTGCTGGCTTGACCCAACTGACCAATTCCTGGTGACAAAGAGCATGCAGGGATATAGAAAGGAAAACTGTACACATGATACCCGTCAACCAATAACCCTTGATATACTGAGAAAACTACCAGGTGCCCTCAACCATGTGTGTAAATCAGATTATGAGTCATGCCATTTTACAGCTTTGTTCAATCTTGCCTTTTTTGGTTTTCTCCGGATAGAGGAAATTGCACTTGTTTCTAAAAGGGACCGCGATAGACCACTTCAGTTCCAGGATGTAGCCATTGTTCAGGGAGCCTTACATGTAAGAGTTCGTTTTTTAAAAACCGATCAACTTGGTAGGGGTACGACACTGATTATCCCCCCAACAGACCCAATCATCTGCTCAGTTCGAGCAATCAACAGATACCTAACATATCGTCCATCAGAACCGTCAGTTTTTCATCCATCTGAATGGTACCTCAGTGACAAGGTACCAGTTTTCAGCTGTCCTTCAGAAAGCATTGAAATGTCTCAACATTGATGCTCAACACTTCAAATCACTTTCTTTTAGAATAGGAGCAGCCACCCATGCATCAAGAGTTGGCATATCAGACAATGTGATATGCATGTGGGGCAGGGGGAAGTCTGGGGCATACTCTACATACATAAGGCTTAACATGTAAATGATATTAATTTACCCTTAATGTTATTCAGAAATTTGGATGTTTGGATCCAGTCTCATATACTGGGCACACAGGAGAGAAGTTACCTGGCCAGTGGGTGTAAATCTTGGACTGGAAAAGTAACATGGCATGACAGTTAGGTGGTACGGGAGACGGGTAATGAAGTGGGAATCGTTAGTTTCTTTCATTACGCAGCAATTAGACAGGTATCCTCCCCCCGCGTGGCTTCTTATTCACTTTGGATCAAACAATCATGTCGACACTGCAACTCAACATTTACTTGACACGGTCAACCAGGATCTGCCAAAGCTGCAATCCATGATGCCGGCTACTGTGTTGATATGGTCTGACATTCTACAGTGGGTTACATGGAGAGGCATCTCTGATGGCAGGATAATGGAGAAGAAGCGAAAGTGATACAACAGATTTGGCAGAAAAGGGGTTCTCAGCAAAGGAGGCCGTGCAAGTGGACACTCAGAAATTACTGTATCTGTCAAGCAAGTCCAGTGGCGGAGGTCATGGCAGGCGTACCAAATATGTGACATAATGGATTGTCACCACAGGACTATTTGAACCTCACGTTGTGTGTAACCACGGATAGTAAAGTATTTACCAAAAGGTTTGTAGCTAATCTGACCCTCATGTTGTGTGTATCCAGAGGGTACACAGGGTGTGTAATTGTTCATCGCAGGACTAACTGAACCTTACGTTGTTTGTAGCCACGGAGGGTATTCAGTGTGTGTGTTTGTGCTTGTATTATTATATTCCGGCCCATTTGGTCATGATATTTACTGTTGCTGCCGCATCACGATGTGCATATCAACCTCGGATGCAATAGCAAGTTAACTTTGTGTGTGTGATAAGTTTACAACCTGTACCCTTGTATAGTACCCTGTATATTTCTGAATTGCCCATCCTTGTAAGGTCGGTGTTCAGTATCAAAACCTGTCGTGACTTCCGCCATGTAATACAGCTGCGCCCATATTTTCCCAATTGTGGTTATGTTATCCTTATGTCATTCACACTTAAACAGATTTCACTATAAGAAATTTGTTTTAAAGGGAATATTCTCCTGCAGATGTTTGAAGTCAGTACAGGGATATTTTATGTGTTCAAACATCAATACCGGATAATACTGAATGCCTTGTGAAATTCAAAAGTGCACGGGTATTGTGAGTGTGAATAATCTATTCAACGCATTAAATGTATTATATCTTACTTTTTATAACACCAATGGAGACTCACTTTTTAGATTTAGAGGACAATGGCAAAACTGAAACGTAATATTTACGTCAACGTGCGTTTTTCTATCATACTCATCATTGATCAATATCTCCGAAACGTCCGCGGTGTTATATAACATAGGGAGTAAAACCAATGTCCATGCTTTTAAGAGCCGAGTATTGATTGACAGTGTTTCATGGCAACGAAATATTGCAATAAAATAATGAAATAAGGAGTGTTCAAATTACATAAATATTTGAAGTGGAGAATACGGTTATTTTAACCCTCTTGGTGCCACGACGCCAAATATGATCCCACACCATGAATCCATCTTCGTCCTATGGTATCCATTTATTACATGGGGGATATAAAGAAAACGTACAACTCTATGGATAACAGGTTCTGGTTTATTGCATGTAGCAAAGTTTCGATGACGATTCTTACACTGATATCACTCCAGCTTGATGACGGTGTAAGACTCCATGTTTACAACACACTTTACAACTTTAACCAATTATAAAAACATTTTAAACAAATTGACAATGCCTATATTTGCCATTCAATTACACGTAGCCCCATAGTTCAAAATTATCATTGCTAAGGACGCTAGCTGCTTTAGGCAGCTATATATACCACTCAAAAGAAATTAAAGAACACCCGATCTTTTCATATGTTAATGTGTAATGACCATGAAGAAAATCGGGTGTTCTTTAACTTCTTTTGAATAGTATATAAAGCAAATAATTGGTGGCCCGGGCTACGCGCTACAGTTGAGCAGGGTTACGTCTTTAAGGCGTGTCAGAAACTTATGAATGTGGGGTTGAATACCACGATTAGCTATATGATCTTGTGTTGAGGTTTGTCAGCATCATACCCGTTCTGTTATACGTCGGAGCGATGGATATCTGTAAACAATGGCCCTCGCAGTTATACCTGCCGATCTGTGCTGGGCAGTCCTACACGAGTTCTCTCCCCTGGTGAACATGTTGAAACAATTTACCAAATGGTCCTGCGTCATGATTTTGAGGATCGAGTAATCAACCAGTGTGTTCTCGGGTCCGTTTTGTACTCACGGTGGGTGCAAAAAGGAGACAGATTAGTTTTGCTTCACTTACTATATGCTGTCGGCTGTGGTTCTATATTTATCATGAATGCGGCACCCCACCTCTGACGAGGTGGGGTGGGGTGGGGTTTGGTGGATGTGTAGTCGTTTATAATATCAGCTGGTCGGTTTGAAGCAGTACATGCTGGGGTGATGTTCAGTTTTGGTATCTCAGTGGGCTAGCTCTATAAAACAGGCGTTAGTCCAGACTAGTACAAGCAGCCGCACGCACGCACGCTTAGCTATGTAAATGCGATAATCTTGAACGCGATCTTAAACCCCATTAGTTTAAAGTGAACTCATTTGGTTATTTCTGTGCCTAAGGCTTTTTAAATACAAGAAACTCTCTCTATAATCACAATTAGATTTGCTGCAAACAGCGTCCATCATACGATTCCCACTTGTGTTTACGAATTAAACGTGTAATTGAAAGCGGCGAAATCCTTTCCATAATCACAATAAATTGGTATTTAAAGTAGAGTCCATTGTACGATTGCGACTACATCAATAGCACATGCTTATGAATCACAATCAACTAGTGATGATACCAGGTGAAAAGGAAAACCGTATCCTTCCTTTTCCAATTGGGGAGGTAAGAACATGATATTATTAATTAGTTGTTTCTTCCATTCATAAATTACTGGACCGCCTCCGGAGAGCGGAAGGTCCGGGGTTCGATCCCCGGCCGCGTCATACCAAAAGACGTTAAAAGATGGTACTTGTTGTTACCCTGTCTGGCGCTCGACATTAAAGGGCTAAAACAAGGACTGGTTGGCTCGAAGTCAGTATACTGTGTCTAAGTGGGGTATTCATGTTAAACTGCGGCATGGTATCTCAGTGTGCTAGCACTATAAATCGGCATCAGTCCGGACTAGTACAAGCAGCCACACACACACACACACACACACACACACACACGTGCACGTCGCTATATAAGTGCAATAATCTTGGACGCGACGTTAAACCCAATTTCACCTCACCTTAAATAATGATATCAGGAGGTCGCGAAAAGGTGAGCTTTTTCCTGCCCCACTGGTGGCACCCGTCACACACACACATGTGAGCGTCCATTGTGATCGATAGAGTCAGTAACATCGCGGCGTGCGTACCCCATGAGCTTGGGTATGGTATTGACAAACCTTGAAACACAATCAGGGATATCTAACTCAAGATGTAGTTTTTCTAAACATTGAAGACCCTTACCAGGACAGTACCAGTGTTTACATTCCGTCACGCAATATAATAATACATCACGCAACATCTTCACGACATGCAATAGTTACACAAAGTCACGTTTGATCTGTGATTCAGGAAGTATTGGAAAACATCTACACAAAGGTTTTACCGTCTGTCATGTATAGTTGGTGGTTGAGTGGTTCCGAGAAATCTGATGTTGATATCTCTAAATGATATAGCCTTTGTGATCGCACGAACATTCCAGAGGAATCTCTTCATAGCACTTCACGTCCAATACCCGTGTGCTAACTCTGTCTATACCTTAAGACTAATTGGATCAGTTCTCGTAGAATGACCATAACTTAATGTTTCTTGTGCCCGTTACATCGTTCCAATTTCTGAGTTATGTGCATTGGCCTATGGTTCTATTCAACAATTTGAATACCTACAAACGGGTTCAACTGTATATATTACTCGAAGACGCACTGGACATGTGTTGACAGACGAAGCTTTGCAACATCGTACATCGTTGAAAATTTGTGAGGAAAGGAAATAATGGTTCCCGTGATGTTCAGGTTTTTGGCTGTCTGTCTGATGGCACCGCTTGTGAGCAGCCAACGCGCTTCCACCTGGGATGAGTGTCAGTGTGAATGGGCCACCTGGAATCCTTGGTCCATTTGTGATTCGCAGTGTTATGGGATGCAGCAACGCTCAAGAAGTGTTTCAATGATCGACAGTTGTGTAGCTTTTGAGTCCTGTGATGCAGGAGCAGGGGCCTACGAACATCAAGACTGCAACACTGTCTGTACATTTGGTTCTTACGACTCATCATCGGGCAGATGCAAGTGTCCAGGCGGGAGATATGGACCGTGCTGCACCGACGGTAAATGTTATGGGGCTGACCACTTATTTTATTGATTTATTTATTGTGGGATGCTGGGATAATAATGAAAACAATCAGACAAAACATAACGGAAACGTAGCTCCCTTCGACACAGATAAACAAATGGCCGAAATGTTAGCGTCACATACCTTACCTGAACAATAAAGGAGACCAGTGATCTCCGCCTCATCTGTTTCATATTTAGAGGGGCGGTCGGGTAGCCTAGTGGTTAAAGCGTTCGCTCGTCACGCCGAAGACCAGGGTTCGATTCCCGACATGGGTACAATGTGTGAAGCCCATTTCTGGTGTCCCCCGCCGTGATATTGCTGGAATATTGCTAAAAGCGGCGTAAAACCATTCTCACTTACTCATATTTAGATCTATGCATAAAGATTCAAAAGAATCTCCACAAGACTGTATGACAAGAGGGATGACTTCACTTTCAAATAGTCAACTGTACAATCAAACACGCTCTTTCTACCAAGATTTCAAAGAGCGTCATACGACTCTTGCTCAGAAGTTGTTAGATCAAGGTTACAACATGCAAGACCTCAGTAAATCTTTCAAAAGGTTTTATGGTAGACATGTGGGGACATTTCCAAGTTTGACGCATTAGTGACACAAAGTATGTAATTCCCTTCTTTTACTTGTACCATATGTTCCCGTCTTTGCCTTTGCATGTGTTTGTGACGGGTGCCACCGGTGGGGCAAGATACGCTCACCTTTTCGCAAACACCTGGTATCCCTACTATTTGAAAGTGATTCATAAACACATGCTTATGATATAGTCGGAAATGTACAATCGACTCTGCTTTATGCAGAGATTTCTATTGGGTAAGGAAAGGGTTTTGTAAAATATACGGCAGTTCATACATAGACTCTGTCTAATATAGACTTGTAAGTTTTGTAAATCAAGGGAGCGGAAATGTTATTTAATCTTGGTAATCTTTATTCAATGAGGAATTAAGTGTTTGAAAGCTTTAAAGAAACTAATTTCATTACCTAAATCAGTTCAATTAATGATAAAAGTATCAACTGTCTGAAGTGGAAAAGATGACGTCTTTTGCTGTAGCAGTTATGTTAGGTACCGATATATATTTACTTTACAGACACAATATGAAAACGCATAGTGGATTTATGGGAAATATTTTTCAGCGAACTGACAGAAAACAACGAAATGGGCATGGGGTAATGAGACTTGAAGCTAGGTCTAATAGTGTCCTCCACTAGGACAACTTCCTATAAACACACTCCTGCCATGTGGAGCTAGTGCGATGTGTGCGTCAACGTCAACCACCGCCTCATAACTGTGCGGGGCTGTCGGGTAGCCTTGTGGTTTCGCCGTCACGCCGAAGAGTGAGTGAGTTAAAAATTAATGTCGCAACGGCATGATTTCAGCCACATAGCGACGAGTCAAAGTTAATTTATTTACAATTGAGTCATTAATGCAAAGTAATATTTAAAATTTATGAAACATATTTGAGCACAACATTATCATGTATACAGTTTTAAAACACGGGCTATAGGCCAGCAGTAACCAAAACTAGGCCACCTCGCTGGGGCTCATGGGGACTTACAGTACCTCTGCTTCCTGCATGATACCCCAGCAGGATTTACGTCATCACTTTAGCTACTGGTGGTTGTGCACAATACCAGCTAATATTAAAAAAATACTCAGCAATGAGTTTGCTTAAAAACACTGGTTGATAATAGTTACATCGATTATGATAGGATTACGTGTCACACAGTGGGACAATAATTTTACGCTACTTTAACCTGGACAGAACCTTCAGTAATGTCTGTTGATAATAGCATCACACCAAATTTAAAAAAAACATGCATTTAATTATTCACATAGATATTTAAAAGTTATTACATAGATCAATTACTTTCAAGTAATTTAAGATGAGATTCCCGCTTACACGGGAAAAGCGATCTTTCAGATTTACGCTTTGATAATGTGAATCTCTTGCGATTGTAAAGTCCACACAGTCAAGCAGTATTTGTTTGACAGTGAACCTTTCACCACAAGGGATACACTTAGGAGGTTCGTCTTCATCTGTCTTAAGCAAATATGTGTGTGTAAACCGACTGTGGCCAATACGGCATCGTCGTAAAACGACAACGTCATGTCTTGACAATCCAAGTAGGTTTGACCGATTGTTGTTTTTTATTCGTGAAGTTTGCTTCCTACCTGGGTGTCCCACCTCTTTTGCATGAGATCAGGCCGAAGACCCGGGTTCGATTCCCAACATGGATACAATGTATGAAGCCCATTTCTGGTGTCCCCCGCCGTGATATTGGTGCAATATTGCTAAAAGTAGCGTAAAACCATACTCACTCATTCTCTCATAACGTCGCTACGTTGACCTGGACTTTACAACAGGGATTACATGCGCAAGGGCCAGTGCTTGCCAAACACGATATTCATTCTGGGGGCAGTCACTAACACCCGTTGTAATTCCTCTGCTAGTCATTTAATTATTGACTTGATTAGTGTAGTAATACAAACAAGGTTAGCTCAGCTGTCTAGTTGTTATTAATAAAAGTCAAAATCCACCATGCGTTTTTTTCAAAGTGTGTCAAAGTATATTTTTACACGTTCGATTCCATAGTGGATTCAGTGCTGTAAGTCGCAAGGTTATTAAAACTGCTGAAAAAAGCAGATTATATTTATAGCAACGAAATATTTAATATGAACCAAATGCGAACAGGTGTAAACATGAGAGGAATAATATCCGAGATATGTACGATATAACGTAACAACAATTGTTTTAATTTGTAAATAGCGATTACGTGTGGGGCTCCTCAGACAATAGCGAATGGCGACTACAGCGTGAGCAACAGCTACAACTACGGCAGCCTTGCCACCTATACTTGTAACCACGGCTACAACATGACGGGCACCGCAACAAGGACGTGTTCTCAGGACATCATTATATCTACGGTCGGGTTCTGGACGGGGATGAAGCCAGACTGTTTGTGTAAGTGAGACCATCCTCATTGAAAGGGAAAATTGGAATCATGGAATTTCGGTGCTTAACTATTTTTCCTTCTAAATAACCCCAAAGGGACCGATCTTGTAGTGGTAGTGCTAGTTGTGTAGTGCTTGTATCATTGGGATAATACTACCTCTTATCTCGTCCGCTATATTCTGTACACAATATGGAACAGACAATCCACTGATTGACATCATGAGCGTCGATCTACAAAATTAGGAAACGATGACATGTACAACAAAGTCAGCGACCCTGACCAGCCGATCCCATTGGTCGCCTTTAACGACAAGTACGGGTTGCTGAAGACTCGTTCTAACGCTGATGTTCACGTCTCTTGATGTTAAAGCGTCGGGTGCATTCTTGTCGCCCTTCGCGGAGAATGGATGGAATTTTGCATGTTGAAACGTAAAATCTTAAATTAGTCACTCCTTATGAGCATGTCCGTTAGTTTCGTGATAAACTTTATCGCATTATTCGTATTACACTAACACAGTTGCTTAAAGTTAATCAGTAAAATCTATTCCTGGGTAGAATAGGTCTTCAGCAACCCATGCTTGCCGTAAAAGGCGACTATGCTTGTCGTAAAAGGCGACTAACGGGATCGGGTGGTCGGGCTCGCTGACTTGGTTGATGCATGTCATCGATCCCAATTGCGTGGATCGATGCTCATGATGTCAATTACTGGATTGTCTGGTCCAGACTCGATTATTTACAGACGGCCGTCATATAGCTGGAATATTGCTGAGTGCGGCGTTAAACAACAAACAAACAAACAAATAATCAGTAAAATCGGAGACAACAAAACACAGCCTTTACAATGATATCGTGTAAGTGATGTGTTGCCATGATGGTGACATGTCCAGCCAGCTATAGCGGGTAAGGGGCTGTTTTGACCTTATGTTTGCTTTCTCCATCCAGTCGCTGAGTCCTGTAACAGCAGCCCCTGCCAGAACGAAGGCACGTGTGTGAACGGTCTGGAGATGTACACGTGTGTATGTTCCCCTGGATGGTCAGGGATCAACTGTGAAACAGGTAGGAAATCCAACATGGCTTGTCAAGGTTAGAATGAATTTTTGAAATAACACTCACGGTTCTCAAGTTGTCTCAATTTGTTTAACAATTTGTAAACACTTTGTTGAATGGTCGAGTGAAACAGGTTTACCCAGTTTATGTGTCGCCCATTTGTTGCATACAGAGTCTTATGGAGCATAATAAATTGTACGTAAACCTACATTCGTCTTACTGTTATAAACGGCCAACACTGTCAGTTTCCTTTTAAACATAACTAATGTGGGACACTGGTGGCCCAGTGGTCTAAGGCGCCGCGATTCGCTGTGCAGAGTTGCGTCCCTTGGGCACGCGGGGAACCTATGATTGGTGGTTCGAGTCCCGGTTCGCCCCGATTATGTTTCTGGGTTTGTCAGCACCAAACCTGTGCTCGTGGGTTTCACCGAAGTGGTAAACGTCTGAGACCTGCATCACTTCGGGGTTTCCTCCCACATTAAGCTGACACGCCGTGATGTAGCTGGAATACTGTTAAAAGCGGCATTAAACCAAACTCACTCAAAACTAATGTGAAAATGACAACCCCTCCTCTAGACGTACAACCTCCTGTGGTCAGTGGCTGTGAAAACAAGACAGCCCTCAACACAGCTGACCGTGAACTGACCCACGAGTGGACGGTGCCAACCTTCACAGACCCGCTTGGTAACGAAGTCACTACGACATCCAACTACGTCAGTAGCTCGTACCGCTTCCCCTGGGGCGACTTCTTCGTCCAATACGTGGCCACCAAGACAAACAATGGTTTACAGACGGAGTGCAAGTTTCAACTCAACGTCCGACGTAAGTAGTTTGGAGTCTTCATAACCATACCATACCCAATGTGCAAGATTGCGTAAACCTTTAAGTAGTAGGTAGTTTCGTTTTGGAAACATTTGTCATGGGTACGTGCACATTTCCTTCAAATAAAAACGAGAATTATCTTATACATACACGTTTTTCTTTTGTCAATACATATTTATAGATGACTGGTATAAAATCAACAAGAAACATGTTTGCACTTCACCAAAAAGTAGACCGCCTCCGTGGTCTAGTGGTAGAGCGTCCGCCCAGAGAGCGGAAGGTCCGGGGTTCGATCCCCGGCCGCGTCATACCAAAAGACGTTAAAAGATGGTACTTGTTGTTACCCTGTCTGGCGCTCGGCATTAAGGGGCTAAAACAAGGACTGGTCTGCTCGAAGTCAGTATACTGTGTCTGAGTTGGGTATTCATGTTAAACTGCGGCATGGTATCTCAGTGAGCTAGCACTATAAATCGGCATCAGTCCGGACTAGTACAAGCAGCCACACAAACACATACACGTACATGCACGTCGCTTTATAAGTGCAATAATCTTGGACGCGACGTTAAACCCAATTTCACCTCACCTCGCCCAAAAGTATCATACGTTCTCATTTCATCTTGGAACGTATAGAAAGTCAAATCTACTTTAGGAACGATCTTTACAGTGACCTTATTGTTTAGACATTGAAGATAAATTCAAGATTAAGAGCTGCCCCCAAGGTTTACATGTACCAAGTGGTATATTTAATAATAACTTTCAATAAGTGTTTTTTTTTAGAATGCCGTTTATATATAACAATATTGTCAGTGTATCCACATGATCCTCATGGATATATACCAAAACTAATATTACCAGGATAACTACCTGATATAATATGTCAACACGCCATAACGATTGAGGGTAGGTAAAAACAATACGATATCCCAGCTTGTGTTTTACATACTGGTGACCATTGAGCACTCAGCATGCATGAAGGTCAAAGTCTTGACTGCAAATATCAGCACAACGACTGGCAAGCGACCAGTTATCACCGATGACCAATTATCGCCAACTCCCCGTTATAGCTGGCACGCGAGACCATCTCCGTTTACTTTTGCTCGTTTTCATTCGAAGAGAGAAATATTTGTTCCAAAATGATGAACAAACTCATGTGGGGAAATATTAAAAAAACATTTAGCATAATCACCTTGCTCAAACACAACTTCAGAGAAGACACTCGGGCGGTGTCACGTGACTAATTCACGCGTAAATATAAATCAAACAACACGATGATGCACTTTCAGTTCCGTCATTACTTTCTATTTGTCTGTCATTTCTTCCCCAAAAATTCTGAAACCTATTTCAGTTATATTTCCAAAAATGCATAACCTTTATATATCGCGAAATCCACAGTACATAGTGTGTGTAGGTCGTATTTGGGGAATATTGGTTTTTGTCAGTTTGCAGACGACAAGTTGATTTATTTTGATGAATAAAACATTTGAGTGCGATCCCCGAGATACTCAAAAATGTAATTTGTATAACTGAAGCGGTGCGCGTGATCACGTGGCACGTGTTGTTAAGACGAAGGCGATAACTGGTACAGTAAGCCGACGGGAATGTTTTATTTCCAAGTTTGATTCACTAACGAAGCGTTATAACGGAAATTTAATAGTTTCACAACGATAAATTTTATTGGTACAGTCACGAAATATGTCAGAAATAAAATGAAAATAATGGCGATAACTGGTCGGTGACCAGTACTCAGTTTCGTGTAGTGACAGTTGACGTGACAGTAACATTCACTCAGTAAGTGTATGCAATACATTCAGACATACAGCTCTGTGTTACACCAAGACTAAGCCGACATTACTTCTCAACTTGTCTTTTGCACTCCCATGCAACTGCAAAATTCCAGTTATATGAAGACGCCTGGAAGTCAAGACAAGCCAGTTACTGATATTATTATCATCATCAGGGATTTAAAAACATATATGATATAATATGTTCCTGAAAATGTTGAAAACACTAATTAATCCTCATCTTTTTACCCACAAAACATAAATTGCGTACTGTATATGATGACGTGTTGTTAGTCCGAAGAAATAAAATATCTAGACCAGACAATCCAGTGATAGATTTTACGGGCAACGATCCATGTTGGGCATCACATCCAAACCTGGGATCATCAGGAGGTTGCTGTACATCGTTGCCGTGATGATTTATTTGTTGTAAACCTTCTAGAAAAGAATAAAAAATATACTAACTAATAACATGACAAATTATCCCCAACAGCCTATCCCTGTGACGAGCTACCTGTCCCCAAGTTTGGATACGTGGCCTGCAACGGTTGGCGGACTGACTTTGGACAGTATTGTTTGATTGGCTGCAGAGCTAACTACACCCTACCACGTGATATCAATGAGGACCGCTGGTATGTGTGTGGCGCCAGTGGAGCGTGGTCATCCAATCCAGGAACGTTTCAGTGTGAAGGTGGGTTACTTTATATACACCCCCCTTTATCTGCACCATATACACATGACACATCGTTCAACACCACGTGTTCATTATTTTCATAGATCACAAACCTCTATGTATGAGGACCGCCTCCGTGTTCTACTGGTAGAGCGTCCGCCCGGAGAGCGAAAAGTACGGGTTCGACCCGTCATACCAAAATACGTTAAAAGATGGTTCTTGGTGTGACCCTGTCTGGCTCTCGGCATAAAGGGGCTAAAACAAGGACTGGTCGGCTCGGAATCAGTATACTGTGTCTGAGTTGGGTATTCATGTTAAACTGCGGCATGGTATTTCATAGATCGGCATCAGTCCTGACGAGTACAAGCAGCCACACACACACACACACACGTACATGCACGTCGCTATATAAGTGCAATAATCTTGGACGCGACGTTAACCCCCATTTCACCTACATGTATGACAATGATCAAATTTCCATACATGTCTAAAATACCACCGATACCTGCTTTATTTTCCCCCAAATTGTCGCAAGTACTGTGTCGTATCATATGATGCAATGAAGCGGGGATGCAATTGGTGGTCAAATAACTATTTACAATACTTCTCACAAGGTCGGTTCCTGTATGTCAGTATAAATATTCCACTTTGTACAGAAGACCAAATGTGTTCCGTTCGTATACGTTTTCTGATAGTGGTTATATATACTTGTTCTGGCTAGCAATTAAAAAATCTCAACGTTGTAATAAACTATAATTAAATAACACCGGGTGATCAAGTATTTGTAAGATCAAAGTAATTCAAAGGTAGTTCCTGATCCAATTGACAAATTATTGGTAACAAATTAAAGAGAGTATGTATAATCCTATTACTGACAGGATGATCTAGTAGATAGAGCGTCTGTCCGGAGAGCGGAGGATCTATCCCCGGCCGCATAATACCAAAAATACGTAAAAATAGTGTACTTGTTGTTACCCTGCCTGGCGCTCGGCATTGAAGGGATTAAACAAAGAGTGGTGGGCTCGGAGTCCGCATACTGCGTCTGAATGGGGTATTCATGTTAAACTTCGGTATGGTAAAAAGTGGGCAATAATAAAAACGACAAAATAATTTCCATTATCCTCAGAAATCCATTCTACGATTCCCACTATATTATGAGCATGTGTTGATGAATCATTATCAAAGAGTGATGATACCATCCTGTCCCACTGATGGCACCTGTCACAAACACATACAAAAACAAGTACAATCGTTGATTTGAAAAAAAACCGGGATCATTTTTAACAAGTCAAAATAGGTAATTGCACGCACGCACATACACACATTCGCACACGGCACAACTTTTCATGTACTACTCTATTGCTATAATCGATCCCTTCTACTCAGTCAGGTGACAATCGTCACGTATATCATGTGAATTTACTAACTTTTCTGGAAGGGTTATTATCAGTTAATCAATTGTTTGATAGGCATTACTTAGAAGTTGACGGATGGCAAAGTAGACACAATGTTTGGATAACAACTTCTTTAATACTGTAAAAGTGATGTTTCGGTAGAGATCCTGATACCGTTGTCAAGCAAGACTGAATGAGGAACATTGTACGGAATATATATAGAAGGTGGAGGATTAACTGAAGAGGATTAACAGTAACAACAATTGCATATATGAGAGGGATAATATGAGTAAGATATGTTCCTTCTGTTGTCATTACTTACTCATGTTATCCCACTCACGTATGCAGTTGTTACACGAGACCTATTCTAACCCAGTTTAAAGAAACAGTTACGCCACACTCGTTGAAACAAAAACATCTCAGGTGATAACTGTTGCAAAGCTTCTTCGTGAATTTTGGTCGATACCCCATGTTCAATAATAATATTTGTTGACAGGAAAAGTTAATACTTGTGTATGTATAGATGGTATTTGACTTTCTTGTTTAAAATAAGTTTATGTTTCTTACTGATCTGATAAAGTTGACATTTCATGAGTGGCGTGCACACACGTAGTGAAAATGTTTGCTTTGTCAGGTATTATATTTGTATTCTCACCGAAAACCATATTGGCATTGAAACATATTGAACGTAGTTTACGCATTACGTGATTGTTCACATGAAACGTATCAATTTTATATTTAAAATGGATATGAATTCTAGTATATCATCAATGTTAGTGTAAAAACAGTCAAGGACCTTTTTAGTAAAGTTAAGTCTCATTTAATACTATGTTTTTTAAAAGAACTTATAAATAAATTTTGATGTAGTTGCTGTATTGTTTTAAAAATTGGTAGTGCAAAATTCATAACTTAGATTGTTAGTGGCTGTACCCTCGAGGGGGTTGAAGTAGCGTAAAATTATTGTCCCCCCAAGAGGGTATGTAAGACCCATATCATTCGAAGTATTTTTCTGCATGCCAGGCTTTTAAGCGTAGAATATCCGTCATTTTAATCTTTGGCTTAATTGATACTCTGTCGCCAGTGACCGAAGGGATGATATAAATCCTGCTGGGGCCATTGCAGGAAGCAAAGGCACTGTTAGTCCCCATGGTCCCTAGTATGGTGATCTCCCTTAGTTACTGACGATCTCTAGCCCTTTTTTTTATTGTGTTGTTCACTTATACTTATGACTTTTATATATTCTCAACTAGTTTTTAATAGACTCTGTGATATTCTAGTTATTGTACTGTCCATTGTTGACAGCTTTTTATATTGTCTAAATATGTGTATTTGTAATGTACTTCTCGTCACGATATGGCTGAAATACTGCCGATGTGACGTTAAATCTTAACTCACTCACTCACTCACTCACTCACTCACTCACTCACTCACTCACTCACTATATCATCAATGATACATGATACCTGTTGTTTTTGTTAACTTCATTTTTACATTTTTTCGTGTATTATAGACGCAACCGATCTGCAGAGCATTTCCGGTGGCATCCTCGGCAGTCCTGACACTTGTGATGACGTCACATCCGTACAAGCCTTGTACATCGAAGAACTCCAGAAATCAAATTATAATTCTGTTTGTACTAAACACAACGATCTTTGTCTTACAGAAAATGTTAGTGTAAGATGTCAATGAAGTGATATACAAATGGTTCAGTACAGAGATTTACACCGTAAATGCATATGCATTTCACAATAAACCTAAAAACGCCAAGACCTTTGTGTTTTTCATTTTCTTATTAGTGATGAAAAATTAAAATCTGCATTTAATTTCATACATTACTGGGAATGATAATAATGTGAAGTACACATAACATTGTTGGAATACATGAAGATCTTCAAACATTTTAAGTATACATTTTTCGCATGTTATTTGCTTTAAGAAACATAAGTGCTCCCAAAGTCATTGGATTTTTAATACACTTACCTTTGCTCTTGAACATATACTGAGCCGCAAAAGAAACGTCACCCCAAATAACATTGTATGAAAGTTGTCATTTAAATATCTGGGTAATGTTTGTCAAAGTTTCTAAAACTTAACATTACCTTGTCCGGAAAAATGAAATTAGATGATAAACAAACAAAGCAGATGACAATAAAACAGATCGCCCAAACGCATCACAGCAACGACCATGGTATCCCGATGCACGTGAGTTCCGTGCAAACTGAAATGCACATGCGTTCCCGCATTTCTTGCCCTATACAAATCCATCCAGATCGGATAACATTCATTCGTTATTGAATTGCTACGACATGGCAAGATTGACCAGAAATCAGCGACACCAAGCCCTTGGACGATTGCAAGCTGGTCAAACCGCCCGGCAAGTAGCCATTGCATTTCAAGTCCACGTAAGGACCATATACAGGCTCCAGCAACGGTACGAGACCACCAACACTACAGATGACCGACCACGTCGTGGAAAACCAAGGGTCAGGGTCGTCAGATTGTGCGACAGCATCTTCAAGCTGTTACTGATGCGGAAACTGCTCGAAAGACCATGGGGACAGACCAGCGACACTTTAGTGCGGACAACGTGCGTCGACGATTGACGAGCAGACACCTCCACTGTCACAGGCCACAACAGGGCCCTTTCTGACACCATGTCATCGCAACACAGCACCAGCATTGGCGCCACCAGCAGTGGAGAAGACTCCTCTTCTCAGACGAGAGCCGACACTGGATCTCAACAGCAGATTGCAGCGAGAGAGAGTCTGGCGACGCCGTGGGGAACATTATTCGGATGCTTGTATTGTGGGGGTGGTCCGTGATAACGCCCGTGCCCACACTGCGAGAGCAACAAGAAACTTCCCCCAGAGAATGGCATCAGAACCATGCAGTGGCCTGCCCTCAGTCCCGATTTAAATCCCATTGAGTGCCTGTGGGACGAGATTAAAAGACGGCTGAATGACGTCCGACAAAGGCCGACAAATGCAGCTGAACTGCGTCAGGCGTTCCTCAGAGTGTGGGCTCAAGTGCCTATGGCCTTCATCAACTGCCTCATCCATTCCATGTATCGACGTTGCACGGCAGTCATCAATGCTCATGGCGGACACAAGATACTGTCTTGTTGTAGCAGGTGTATATATTTGTATTTTAGCTTTGTTTGTAAATAAAACTATTTCAAGTTTTATTCCTGTTGAACTATATTCAACAGAGGTTTGTTTTTATCCCATCATTCTAAGTCCAGCCCTCAGTGATCAATCACAACCCAAGCTATACTACATTCTTTGTCCTGCCCTCTATTGATTAATCACATCACAAGCTATCCTGTGATTGGCCAAATTCAAACTTTACCTTCTTGCTCCGACTAACTCCATTTTGCCACTTTCACTATGCACTGCATTTGGAGCATTTGTAGATCACCACAAAAGGTTAGTTTATAATTTATCTTTACTTCGAAATATGATTAAGTAGTAATCAAAGATTAGGCATTATGAATAAGCATCTAAGAAGTAATTATATTAACATTGAATCATATATTTCTATTAATGTTGATGTATCGAATGAATGTGTTTAAGAGGCTGATTTCAAGTTTTATTTCTGTTGAACTATATTGTTTTTATCCCATCATTCTAAGTCCAGCCCTCAGTGATCAATCACAACCCAAGCTATACTACATTCTTTGTCCTGCCCTCTATTGATTAATGTAGCCTAATTGTTAAAGCGTTCGCTCGTCACGCCGAAGATACAGGTTCGATTCCCTACATGGGTACAATGCATGAAGCTCATTTCTGGTGTCCCCCGCTGTGATATTGCTGGAATATTGCTAAAAGCGGCGTAAAACCATACTCACTCACTCACTCTTATTACAGGGTGACTATCGTCATTATAAATACATATAAGCCTCACACCCCGTAGCCGTCTTGGTGTCATCTGTTTAAAATAATGGATAAAGCCAAGAAAACCCGGTTACATTGTGATGCCATTTCCTCAGAGACTAGTGTTGTGTTTCACTGTAAGAACATTTGACACTTTAATTTCAACCTTGATGATCAGTTTTGCCAAGTTTCATCTTTTTGATATGTCTCAAAGTATGTTTACAGTGTTTGGACAAATAAGGTTTCTCATATATCTATCAGTGATGACGTTTCTTTTGCGGTTCAGTATATATATCTTATATCATTTAGAGGGACCCACTAATAACGAATCTACAGGAACTGAGAGTGCATGGAGAACGGCAAAACCTTCCACAGGAATGTATCAAACGTCTCACTGTAGGCAAGCTTCATGGCCAAAATATCCTAACCTATTTCCAGGATATACATATGAACAGACGTATAGCATAAACAATAGTGGTGAAATACATCAATGAGATAATTAAAATAGTTTACTGAGTAATGTGTGGTTAATAATATATTATCTACATGTGTATATTACTTTAAAAAGTCAGTCGTGATGTTGTTGAACGAGAAAGCGAGTGACTTTAACATGACGAGTATTCTAGCATACAAATGTGGGAGGGTATCCCTAACGCAGGCCACCATGCAGTTTGCTACTCGTCGTTGGGATCAGTTTCTTCTTACATCTAGATGTGCCATTCAAAGACGTGACACATGTAGTCTAATGGCCGAAGACCCCACTGAGCAAAATTATCGTAGCTGTATGGATCCGCCTATTCTAGGTTTGATTCACCCTTATCAGTATCATAATATATACCCGAATTTGAAAACGAAGATGTGCATAGACGACACAATATATGCTGGTTACATAAACCGCTATCAAAAGTATTTACATTCCATGTGGTATTCATACAACTAAGGGGCGGCGGGTAGCCTAGTGAGTAAAGCGTTCGCTCATCCCAAGTTCGATTTCTCAAATGGGTACAATGTGTGAAACCAATTTCTGGTGCTCCCCGCCCAGATATTTGCTTGACTATTGCTAAAAGCGGCGGAAACCATACTCACCCACTCACTCACTCAATCATATAACCAAACTAGCAGCAACATTCCAGTACTATACAATGCCTTAACTTAACTAATCTCTGAAAATCTTCCTGTTCACCATTGTACATATCATGCCATCTATAATCCGCTTCTGATGAAAATATCAAATTGCGTTATTTTAAGGTAAAAGCAATAAGTAAGAAGTAACTGCAATATTCTCCATCAGGAATGTCTATCCAATTATGTCTGATACCGCGAGTCATGTTGTGGAAGGTACCTTTTACTTCTAGCTAAGCTTTTCAATCAAGCGCCATTGTTTTCAGGCCGATACCGTATTGCAGGAGTGCTGCTGTGGAGCTCAGGCTACAAACAAACGAATACCTATTCGATTTTTTTGTGAGTGCTACGCCCTACATGGGGGCATTACATGCTTAACGTTTTCGCAAACAGCTGGTGTCTTTGATAATTCCATAACTATTTTACCTTTTACGTCCTACGGAATCTGTTTCCGCAGATAGTCGCAACTCGGTTGACATTTTGTAGTACAACGTCCGTCGTTTTGTCGACCTTGTGCATTGCTCTCTAAGTGCATTTTCCTGATACATATTGAGGTTGGCTATTCATGGTTCATTTCATTATAGCTTTCTATCTGTTTTGTAAATGCAGTGCATATCATATCTCAGTAATATGAAATCATTATGTAAGTAAACACCCAACTCGCCAGCAAACCTTTGACATGCAACTCATTCAGGAATCGTGTCATTAAAATGATTATTATTTTGAGTCTTCAACAAATACTCCTCACGAGTCTTCAACAAATACTCCTCACTCAGACCCTATTTAGCATCGAGAATTTTCGTCACGTTGAGTTGATGTTGCTGAGTTGGTAAATTGATTTTAAATGGTAGTGCTTTGTGTGTATGTTTTTTTCTAACCCCAATGCCCATGTACATTGCTCAAAAGTTCAAACAAAGAAATATTGACTGGAATGTAAGTGAAGGCGTTGGAACGGTGTGCATACCGTCATGTTCTCTATTTGATCAGTGAGGTTTGTGAACACAGTTTTCTATTATCATTATTTTCATTTGAATCAATAATAATGAGCAACATTTGGACCTCATAGAGGCTTGTCCTCCGAATATCTTTATTCCCGCTGCTACTACTGTCTATTCCGATTACTGTCACTTCCACAACGTTCAGAGTTCACGTTGCATGTAACATTTTACAGATGATCATGGCATTCTAAAAACATGAATTATACATTGAGGTCATTACTAACCAATATCGTGTGATCTCTAATCTCATTGTTGTTGATTGTATTGACTTTCTGTGGATGAGATCTTCTCTTAGAAATTAAAATATCGAAATTCCAATTCAAATGAAATTGAACAATCCCCGCGTCACAGTATCTCAGTAAACTAACAATGTAATAAATGCTTGAGACTTAGATTTCTAAAATATATCTAATTCTAGTACAGGGCTTCGCGGCAAATCAGTATCGTATCGGTTCAGTTGAAGAGAATCCTGTGACGCATTAAATGTTGGGAAACGTTGGTTTTTAACCTTGTTTTAAACTTTTACATCATCTAAGCGCCATAAGAGACAATGTGTATAAGAACAAATGGATAAAATAAATATCAATATTTGTTGAGTGTTATCATTCTGCACAAGAGATACAAGCATTTCAGAAGAGGAGAGGTTAGCGGGGTCCACACTCTGTAATAGCGTGTAGCGGAGACAGGTATACACGACAGTAAGTTAATAAGTGAACCTCGTTTACTATTCTATTACAGAAGAAACATGACGTTTATCTAGTGGTGAAGTGGGTTT